ACATTGAAAAGTCGAGAAATCGGAAAGTGGGAAAAAATCGAAAAGTCGTGACATCGAGAAATCCAAAAGGTGAAAAATCAAAAATCGGTTAATTGAGAAATTTAGAAATGTAAAAATTCCAAAATTGAAAATTCTAAAAATGAAAAATCGAAAATTTGAAGATTAAAAAACTGAAACATCGAAAAACTGAGAAGTCGAAAGTTAAAAAATCGAAAACATGGAAATTTCTGGGTTCCTGAATTTTTCAGTTTTTTTATTTTTCCGTTATTCGATACTTCTATTTGATTTTCGAATTTTTAAATTTAAGTTTTTCGAACTTTTTCGACTTTTCGATGAAACGGTTTTTTCAGTTTTAAATTTTTCGAGTTTTCGATTTTGAACTGTTTCGATGTTGAACTTTCTGACTTTTCGATTTCTCGAACTTTTGATATTTCAATTTCTCAGTGTTTTGGTTTTTCATTGGAAGAATCCATAACTTGAAAAATCCCAAAACAGGGACATCGAAAAATCTATAAAGTATATCTACGATTTTGATTTTTCCATTTCAATTTTTTGATTTTACGACTTATCGACATTTCAATTTCTCGATGTTTTAATTTTTCAGTTGAAGAATCCATAATTGAAAAATCGGGAAATCGAAACATTGAAAAGTCGAGAAATGGAAAAATGGGAAAATAAAAAAAATCCAAAAGTCGTAACGTTGAGAAATCCAGAAGTGGAAAAAATGCCAACACTACAATATTGAAAAAATGAGAAATCGAAAGTTGAAAAATCAAAAAATCCAACATTCGAAACATTCAAAAATCGAACAATTGTTATACAATTTTGATTTTTTTCCTGTGCAGACTTTTTTCACAACATGAAACTTCATACATGTTTAAAGTGGAAATTTTGTATAAGGAAATTTGCAATTAGGCTCCGCCCCATAATTGCAAAATCTATATTTCTTTGCAAAAATGTACCATTTTAACCATGTTGAAAGTTTCTTGTGAAAATATGGCTATGTAAATTAAGAAAAAAAAAGGCAAAGTATAAGCCCCGCCCACCCGCCCTATCTCAATTCTGACGATTTTTTTTTATTCAGCCAAAAAGCCACACATTAAGTCCCACTCATATTTATCCCAAGCTCAATTGTGATGAATTTTTCATTCGTTGACAGACCTAGGGGCGGAGACTAGTTGCAAGATCCGTAGTTTCTTTCAAAAATTTACCAGTTTAAACGTGTTTTAAGTTTCTAAGAATCAAAAAAATCATAATAATTGAGGTGGGGTGGGTGGGTGGGGTTTATATTTTGGCTTTTTTTTCTTAATATACGTAGTAACTTCTCGGTTTTTTAATTTTACGTTTAAATTTGTTTATTTTTCGATTTTTCAATTTTTCGAATTTTCGACTTCTCGAACTTTTGATGTTTCAATTATTCAGTTGAAGAATCCATAACTTGAAAAATCCCAAAACGGGAACATCGAAAAATTGAAAAATCGAGAATTCGAAAAATAGTTATATATCTACAAGTTTGATTCTTCGATTTTGGGCTATTTCGATTTTTCAATTTTTCGATTTTTCGACTTATCGACATTTCTATTTCTTGATGTTTCAATTTATCAATTGAAGAATCCATAAATTGAAGAATTGAAAAACTGAAAAATCGAAACATTGAAAAGTCGAGAAATCGGAAAATGGGAAAAAATCGAAAAGTCGTGACGTCGAGAAATCCAAAAGGTGAAAAATCAAAAATCGATTAATTGAGAAATTTAGAAACGTGAAAATTCCAAAATTGAAAAATCTAAAAATGAAAAATCGAAAATTTAAAGATTAAAAAACTGAAACATCGAAAAACTGAGAAGTCGAAAGTTGAAAAATCGAAAAACTGGAAATTTGTGGGTTCCTGAATTTTTCAGTTTTTTTATTTTTCAGTTGTTCGATACTTCTATTTGATTTTCGAATTTTTAAATTTAAGATTTTTGAACTTCTCGGTTCAAGATTTTTTTGTTTTTTAATTTTTCGTTTAAAATTGTTGATTTTTCAATTTTTTGATTTCTCCATTTATCGAAATTACAGTTTTTCGAACTTTTTCGACATTTCGATGAATCGGTTTTTTCAGTTTTAAATTTTTCGAGTTTTCGATTTTGAACTGTTTCGATTTTTGGACTTTTTGACTTTTCGATTCCTCGAACTTTTGATATTTCAACTTCTCAATGTTTTAGTTTTTCATTGGAAGAATCCATAACTTGAAAAATCCCAAAACAGGGACATCGAAAAATCTATAAAGAATATCTACGATTTTAATTTTTCCATTTCAATTTTTTGATTTGACGACTTATCGACATTTCAATTTCTCGATGCTTTAATTTTTCAGTTGAAGAATCCATAATTGAAAAACTGAAAAATCGGGAAATCGAAACATTGAAAAGTCGAGAAATCGAAAAATGGGAAAATAAAAAAATCCAAAAGTCGTAACGTTGAGAAATCCAGAAGTGGAAAAATAAAAAAATCGATTAATGAGAAATTTAGAATTTAGAAACGTAAAAATTCCAAAATTGAAAAATCGAAAACTAGAAGAATCGAACAATTGCAAAATGCCAACACTAAAATATTGAAAAAAATGAGAAATCGAAAGTTGAAAAATCAAAAAATCCAACATTGGAAACATTAAAAAATTGAAAAATTGTTATACAATTTTGATTTTTTTCCTGTGCAGACTTTTTTTCACAACATGAAACTTAATACATGTTTAAAGTGGAAATTTTGTATAAGGAAATTTGCAATTAGGCTCCGCCCCATAATTGCAAAATCCATATTTCTTTGCAAAAATGTACCATTTTAACCATGTTGAAAGTTTCTTGTTGTGAAAATATGGATATGTATATTAAAAGCCAAACATTAAGTCCCACCCATATTCATTCCAAGCTCAATTGTGATGAATTTTTCGTTCGTTGGCAGACCTAGGGGCGGAGACCAATTGCAAGATCCGTAGTTTCTTTCAAAAATTTACCAGTTTAAACGTGTTTGAAGTTTCTAAGAATCAAAAAAATCATGATAATTGAAGTGGGGCGGGTGGGCGGGGTTTATACTTTGGCTTTTTTTTTCTTAATATACGTAGTAACTTCTCGGTTTTTTAATTTTACGTTTAAAATTTTTAATTTTTCGATTTTTCGACTTTCCGAATTTTCGACTTCTCGAACTTTCGATGTTTCAATTATTCAGTTGAAGAATCCATAACTTGAAAAATCCCAAAACGGGAACATCGAAAAATTGAAAAATCGAGAATTCGAAAAATAGTTATATATCTACGAGTTTGATTCTTCGATTTTGGGCTATTTCGATTTTTCAATTTTTCGATTTTTCGGCTTATCGACATTTGTATTTCTTGATGTTTCAATTTATCAATTGAAGAATCCATAAATTGAGGAATTGAAAAACTGAAAAACCGAAACATTGAAAAGTCGAGAAATCCAAAAGGTGAAAAATCAAAAATCGATTAATTGAGAAATTTAGAAACGTAAAAATTCCAAAATTGAAAAATCTAAAAATGAAAAATTGAAAATTTGAAGATTAAAAAATCGAAAATATGGGAATTTCTGGGTTCCTGAATTTTTCAGTTTTTTATTTTTCAGTTGTTCGTTACTTCTATTTGATTTTCGAATTTTTAAATTTAAGATTTTTGAACTTCTCGGTTCAAGATTTTTCGGTTTTTTAATTTTTCGTTTAAAATTGTTGATTTTTCAATTTTTGGATTTCTCCATTTATCGAAATTACAACTGTCGAACTTTTTCGACTTATCGATGAATCGGTTTTTCAGTTTTAAATTTTTCGAGTTTTCGATTTTGAACTGTTTCGATTTTTGGACTTTCTGACTTTTCGATTTCTCGAACTTTTGATATTTCAATTTCTCAGTGTTTTAGTTTTTCATTGGAAGAATCCATAACTTGAAAAATCCCAAAACAGGGACATCGAAAAATCTATAAAGTATATCTACGATTTTGATTTTTCCATTTCTCAATTTTTTGATTTTACGACTTATCGACATTTCAATTTCTCGATGTTTTAATTTTTCAGTTGAAGAATCCACAATTGAAAAACTGAAAAATCGGGAAATCGAAATATTGAAAAGTCGAGAAATCGAAAAATGGGAAAATAAAAAAAAATCCAAAAGTCGTTAACGTTGAGAAATCCAGAAGTGGAAAAATAAAAAAAATCGATTAATTGAGAAATTTTGAATTTAGAAACGTAAAAATTCCAAAATTGAAAAATCGGAAATTAGAAGAATCGAACAATTGCAAAATGCCAACACTAAAATATTGAAAAAATGAGAAATCGAAAGTTGAAAAATCAAAAAATCCAACATTCGAAACATTAAAAAATCGAAAAATTGTTATACAATTTTGATTTTTTTCCTGTGCAGACTTTTTTTCACAACATGAAACTTAATACATGTTTAAAGTGGAAATTTTGTATAAGGAAATTTGCAATTAGGCTCCGCCCCATAATTGCAAAATCCATATTTCCTTGCAAAACTCTACATGTTATACAAAAAAACTAAATGCATTAATTAAAAAAGAAAACCAAAAGGGAAGCTCCGCCCATCCGTCTTAATCAAATCGTGATGGATTTTTCATTCGTTGTCAGACCGAGGGGCGGAGCTTAATTTGCAAAATCGATATTTCCCTATACAAATTTACCGTGTTAACCATGTTTTAAGTTTCTTGTTGTGAAAAAATGGCTACACAAACTATTAAGAAAAAAGCAAAATGTAAGCCCCGCCCGCCCGCCCTATCTCAATTGTGATGAATTTTTCATTCGTTGTCAGACCGAGGGGCGGAGTCTAAATGAAAAATCGATACTTTCCTACAAAAATTTACCATTTATATATTTTATACACATATTAAGAAAAAAGGGCAAAATGTAAGTCCTTGTTATAATACCTAATCTTTTTTGGCACGGCAACGTCAACGTCAGCGACAAGTTTATAAATCGACCTTTAACAACTACTCTCTAAATAGGTTCCGGCGAACTCGGAGGACCGGATGTCGACCTCGGGGGGTTACCAGCAGGTGCCGACCATCATCGAAACGTCGAACGCGGCCAACGGCAAGAAGAAGGAGAGCGTCATCAGCGTGACGGACGCGGACGATGACAAACGAAGCAGCATTTTCTTGGACGACGCCAAGGACACGATTGACGTGAAATCGTACATCAGCCAATCGCGCAGCGACATCGGCCAATACGATTACTCGCCGGGCGACTTAAGTCAGTTGCTGAGGACCGGAAGTTACCGATCGCAGTACGGGCGGTCCCCGAACGAGTACTCGTTTTTGTCGAGGGCGGGCAGCAACCGATCGAGACGAGGGCGCTCCCCGAACTTCGAAGTCATACCCGGGGAAAGAGCGAGAAGCGCCACGGTCGCAGTCGGTAACATCGAAAGACCGAAAATGTCGCTCGAAGTTCCCGGCAGGCTTACCAACATCGCCGTTTTGGACGACCACTTCGCCGTGCAGTCGGTGTACAGTCGGAAGGACTCGGGAATCAAGAGCAACAGCCGCCGCAGCAGTATACAGCAGGTATGCATTTACGTTTCGAAGCGGACGGCAGACTGAACTCGTGTTTTCAGCTGGATAACCCCCTCCCCAACTCCGACATGCTGCAGCACCGCGTGTCCGGCTACTATACGTCGAGCCAGAGCTCGGTCAACTCCCCCCACTTCGCCCTCCGGATGCCGCCGACTCTGTTTAATAAGTTCGGCACTTGCATCCAAAGCCTGCGAAAACAATCAGACCGTCAATTAATAAAGTGCGTACAAGAAAACTCCAAGTCGAGAGGTTCCTATTTTATTAAGCCGCCTTTGCGGAAGTTGACTTTGTTTTTCAAGGACGCGCAAATGGAACAAGATTATCGAGCAAACGTCCATTCGCTGTTCGAGCAGTCGGACGCCATTTTGACCCTAGCCAATTCCAAGTTCAACACGTACGTAGACGTGTTGGTTTCGAGTCTAGTCTTCGCTATAGTCACGATCTCGCTGTGGTTGTTGTACGGTCACACGACCCTCTGGTTGGTGATGTCGTTGCTCTTCGTCGCGGTTCAAGCGGTCGGGTGGGCGCTGTGTTCGAAAAGGGTGGTGGAATGCTCGGATAGAATCCTAAGATGCGTGTCGAGATTCTATAGGTGGAACATGTTCGGGGCGGTTCTGGTGAGTTTGCCGCTGGTCACCGTCTTGATAAATTTCTGCACGAAGGTGTTCACCACGTCGGAGTCCACGAACTACCTGTATACGTATTTGTTGTTCGTGGGGGTCATCCACTTCTGTAATTTCACCCAGTTGAACTGCTGGATGAAGAACAGTCTGGCGATAGTTTGCGCAATCGTGTTCATTCCGTTGTTCTTGACCGGCACGTGCTCGAATTTTTTCGTCGAGAGGGACGAGAAGACCGAGTTGAACCCGATCGTGGCGGTTCCAGACGAAGGCAACCGAACCGAATCGGCTCGCTTCGACGACGACCTAGACCATTACAGTTTCCTGTACAAATCCGAGATCCTCATGGACTTGTTCCTGCTCCTGGTGCTCGTCTGCCTCCTCAACCGCGAGTTCGAGATCGGCTACCGCTTGAGTTTCCACGCCAACTACGTCTCGAACCGCGACAAAATCAACGTCCAGAATCTCAAAACCCAAGCCGACTATCTCATTTACAACATAGTACCTGAGCACGTCGCCGAGCAGCTCAAGAAAAACGCGAAATACTCGGAGAACTTCAAGGACGTGGGGATCATCTTCGCGAGCGTGGTGAATTTCAACGAGATGTACGACGAGAGCTACCTCGGCGGGAGGGAGTACCTCCGCGTGCTCAACGAGCTCATCGCCGACTTCGACGAGCTGCTTGACCGGCCCGAGTTCCAGAGCGTGGAAAAGATCAAGACGATCGGGAGCACGTTCATGGCGGCGAGCGGGCTCAACTCGCAGATGCGCCGCGGCCAGAAGGACCCCCACGAGCACCTGTTCGCGCTGATGGACTTCGCGCTGGAGATGCAGAACGTCATCAGCGACTTCAACCGCGACTTGATCGAGTTCAATTTGATTTTACGGGTGGGGTACAACTTCGGCGACGTCACCGCGGCGGTCATCGGCAACACGAAGCTGTACTACGACATCTGGGGGGACGCGGTGAACATCGCGTCGCGGATGGACTCGACGGGGGTGAACGGGCACATCCAGATCGGGGAGAACTGCCTCGAGGTGCTCCAAGAGAGGTACGTTTTCCAGCCGAGGGGCTCCGTCTACGTCAAAGGCAAAGATAACATGAACGTGTACCTCCTCCAGCGGAAGAAGGACGAGGAGGCCGCTTAAGCGTTTTTCTTTTTCATTGTGCCTGCAAACTTGCATTCCATAAGCTGCTTTTAGCTGAGAGTGACCAAGTGTAGCCTTAAACGCTCACCGGATACTAGGTGTTTGTCGGTTAGTCTAACCAAAGAGCGGTGGCGAGCTGCGTCGCGAACGCCAAACCGAGTAGGCCGAACCTGGGGCTCGAACGCAGCGGTTTTGTACACAACGAAATACACGATAGTCCAGCCAATCCGGCCAATAGAATTTGAAAAAGTCGCCAATGGCGAGAGCGGTTTTCGAGTCCCGGTCCGGCCGAAATTTGGGGGACAATAATTGGCGGTCTCGAGATTTGCGTGTGATTATTGGTTGCTTATTTTTTGTTGCCGCGGCGCGCCACTGTGTGGGCGGGGCTCGCTTGACCGTACCAAAGAGTGGGCGGGGTCCGGGCCTCGGCCGGTTCTGTTACCGAGGGGGCGGAGCCTCCGTTTCCAATTTTCGATAGGTTTTTGGAGATTTTTAACAGGATTTTCGAATAACTGTGATAATGTATCTCAATTAGTGATTTTAGCGCTTAGAAGGGCCCTAATTCATTTGTAGTTTGTTTTTTTTTCGAGCAAGAGGACAAACACCTAATTGTATTTCTTGCCAATAAGTACAAATCCGATTTGGAAAATTCCGTGAGGTGTGCGGACGTATTTTATACTCATTATTGTTTTATATATACAGTAATTTTATACAGTAAGAGTTTGGATTTATACCAAAGAGAGGGGAAATTTTATTGCATTATGCTTGGCGGATTTCGTGTTAGACTGATGAGAGAGCGCGTTGTCTTACCTCATTAGAACTTTGACCAATTGAGGACCATGTAAAAATTATTGTGATTAGTTTTGTTTTGGTAGTTGTGCGGTTTTCGACTAGTCGGGTCGGCTTTATACTTTGTTATTTTTGATAAAGTCGCTGACTAGACGAAAACGAAGCCCATGTAATGTGGAAAATTGTATATGATATTATACGGTAGCTTTAAAAAAATAACTAGCTTATTTGTTAGTGGAGTTCCTAACATTGTTTTTTTTTTTATAAAGAAATGTATTACCGTCTACGGTTCTTACGTTTTTATTCCGTTAATTTTAACGTATTTGTTTTTAATTTAAAGTTGTATTTATTTATTGAGTTGTGTACATAGTCAAATTTTAATTATTTAACTATATCCCGTAAAGTGCCTTCTATCATTTAAACTGTCTTTATGATATTTGTTTAATTCGTAACAAATTTTAATAGATATGTTTGTGCACCGTCCTATCATGTATGATACTGATATTATATCTCAATAAAATGACCTGTAATTAAAGGCAGTTTTATTTCACCTTCAAACAAAATATAAACCCATGATACAATAAATACTAGGTATGATATTGCGCACAGGCATTTCGCCCGTATTCTGCGACGTTTTTCTGTCTTCCACGTATTTTTTAGAAGGTTTAGTGGCTATACGTTATGTTTTAATAATTTTATAAAGTCACAACGATGCGTTGTGGTGTTTTTGGGTGTAATAGGGATAAACAAGACATTTTCAAAAAGACGTACAATTTTATTCATTTCCAAGGGACAAGTATGGGTTATTTCTTGTTGTCGTTCGGACTCTTTTATAGTAAAAAATGCAAGAGTGTGTTCACAGCGTTTTAGTGAAGACGATTTCGAACGAAATTTGCAACACGAACTTTTGAATTATCTTCCTAAAAAAGGAAAAAAAAACAAAGTCTGGAGATCAGCCAAGTTAGTTAAAGAAATTTGTTCTAGGGATAAAATCACAGAAATTAACTAGGTATATTATTTTACTTGAATATTGATATAAATCAAACATATTCAATTACAAAAAATGTTTTCAAAGAACATCTTATGTAGGACTCTTTTTTAGCAAATATTTAATATTTTCATTTACTTATTTTATAGCACTGAAACCAATAACGCAAGTGCTGCTTTGGATGATAAAACAGAAGCTACAAGTAAATCTGTTGGGTATATTGAACATTATTTATTGTATTTACTCAAGGAAAGTGCTTTTTTTTGAAGAATAACTTTTATGTTTGCACGGTTTTTTTTGCATGATGTATATTTCTTTATCAAGGGAAACGATTATTTGAAGACGTAGTATATCCAATATTTAATTATGTTTTTTTACATAGTACAAATACAGATCAAGATATACAGAGAGAAGATCTAGGAGCAAAAATTGCTTATCTTAAAAACAAAACGACGAATTTGCAAAAGAAAATCAAGCTATGAAAACAATTTTCACTCCAAGAAAGATTGTTAATTAACATGTAGATTACAGTTCAATAGTACAATGTATTTATTTTTACTGGTTACTTTTTCTTGTACCAGTGACTATGTATTTAAAAGACCGGCAACCCCGTATCCCTATGCGTACCACTGAGAGAATATTCGCGGTTAGAGGGCGCCACAAAAAGCGACAAAAGCCCTCTAACCTTCAATGGTTGTTACTAATACCATTTCACGGGTTGTTGTCTGAACTCGTACAGCACAACTACTGTAAGAGAATCACTGTTGCAGCCGTTTTAGTTTGAAATTTAACAAGTCGGACGGCGCGGAAAATTACCGACACTTTGCGACTCGAATCAAATAAGGATGTGGGAACAAAACTGAACTGCTGTTTTGCAGTTTTATGAATGAATACCTTTCTTGGAAATTTGTGGGTAAAATCTTCTTTTGGAAATTTGTCGGCAATGTCTTTCTTGAAGATGTGCCAGCAATATCTTTGTAAACAGCATTATTTTGTGTCTTCCCCGCCTCCCTTTCCTAGTAATAAACTTAATAGGATTAACAAATTCTCCTTATACCTGTACCCACAGGTACTTTGGAATTGTACTGATAAATCGGTACAACCCCTGTCGTAGTAATTTTATGGTAGGTAGGTACGTACATATTAAAAACCGGGTTTTGAGATTTCAGAGTGGGGCAAGAACGTCGTTCTTTCCAGCTGCGGCGGCACCATTTGAGGTGCCGGCCGACAGTGCCGAAAGGGGCGGCTTGTATCTTAGCAGTGCCGAACATGTGTAAACGGCACTAAGAGTTGTACTGCAGTCGTCTGGACGAACAGACGTGTTTCGGGAAATAAATGTAGTTCTGTTAAACCAAACAGCGTTTAATTTCCACACAAACGAATTCTTAAAAAGAATTAAACACTCATAATTTTCTTCCGAAGTTTCGCAGCGTTAAATTGTTAAAATCATGTCGTATACGCGTTGCAATTATTTCGGTTGCAATATTTTAAGGAAACGAAGCAATTTTCGTTTTTTTTTCATTTCCCATAAAAGATGCGGATAGATGTGAACAGTGGATTATCAACTCTGGAAACTTAAAATTGTTAGGTAAGTGTATGTACAACTACAACTATTTTGAATAAGAAAATATATGCTACAAACTAACTGTATATTTTTTATATTTAGATGTTCCACCGGAACAACTAAAACAAATGTGTATATGCGAAGCTCATTTCGCTGAACATTCATTTTATAATCAAGCTCATCATCGGTTATTGTCATCTGCTGTTCCTCTTCATTTTCAAAATGAAAATACTACAAATAACGCTAGAACAGAACTGACAGAAGGGACTTCAATGCAAACAATGGTGCGTATAAATTAAAGACAGTTAAGTTTATTAAATCAACTATTTAAAATTTACTTTTACAGGAAACAAGTTCTGATCTTCCTTCAGCGAATTCAGTGTCGCCGGCTGCATTACACTTTGATACGTCCTTAGTAACAAGGACCTATGAACGGACGACTAAAAAGGTAAAAAGGAAATTAACATTTTCTGAAAGTAACGACGAATCATTGACTCCAACAAAAAAAAATAAGCCAAATTTTCATGAATTTAATTTAGAGTCACCGCTTGCAAAACCCTTATTGCAAATAACTCCACAAAAACAGACTTTACGAAAAAAAATTCTATTAAAAAACAAAAAAATGAAACAAGAAAAAGCTAAAAATAGAAGATTACAAAATAAAATTATAAATCTATCAAAATTTGATTGGCGGAGGGAAGTTCTGGCAGATAAAGGACCTTTTTTAAAAACATTTTTAAATATGCAGCTCTTTCATAAAAAGAACACAGTATGGAGTCTACACGAAAAACGTATTGCTGTTTCGTTATATTACAAGTCCCCCTCATGTTATAACTTTATGCGAAATAGTTTAAATTTTGTTTTACCTGGTATAACAACAATCAGAAAATGGTTACGCGTCATTTATCTAGAAGCAGGTTTTTGCGGGAGCTATTTCAAGAAATTAAAATTAAAATTTGAACATTTCAGCGAGCAGGAACGAGAATGTGTTTTACTTGTTGATGAAATGAGAATAAAAAAAAGAGTAAGTTATAACAAGTACTTAGATATATTTGAAGGTTTCCAAGATTTTGGGCAGTTAGGTAGATCAGGTTTAATGGGAAATGAGGCTTTAGTTTTTATGTTACGAGGCCTGTACAGCAGTTGGAAGGTACCGTTTTGTTTTTTCATTTCTTGTGGGCCTACAAAGGGTGATATATTAAAAAAATTAATAACAGCGGCAATTAGTTATACAAAAAAAATTGGTTTAACAGTAAGAGTAGTGACATCAGATCAAGGAACTAATAATAGAGGAGCTTATAGTCAACTAGGGGTATCTGCGGAGTCACCGTATTTTTATTTTGACAGTAGAAAAATATATGTTATGTATGATGTTCCCCACCTAATTAAATCTGTCCGCAACTCTTTATTGAAGAGGGATATAATTGTAAACGGAGAAGCAGTTTCTTGGAAAGATATTACAGAAGTTTACCACATTGATCAAAACAGTCAATTATCTCACAGTTTGTTAAAAATTACCAATAGCTACATAAATCCTAATAATTTCGAAAAGATGAAAGTTCGGTATGCTGTCCAAATTTTTAGTAAGACTGTTGCAAATGTTATGGACACTGCGATTTCAACACGTCAATTAACGTCTAATACTGCCAAAAACACAGCAAATTTTATTCGACGAATTAATGATGTTTTTGATTGTTTAAATTCGCGTCGTTGTTTTGATGGAAATCCAATGCGCTATGGTCTATCTGAAGAAAGTAATCAAGTCACAGGCACAATTCAAAAAGCTGTTCCGTGGATACAATCTTGGAAAGTAGGAAAAAATACGCCGTACTGCTTCGAAGGATTAATTCAAAGTATTAATGTCGTGTTATCTCTATGGATGGACATGAAAGATACATATCCTATATTGCTAACCTCTAAATTGAATCAAGATCCTCTTGAAAACCTATTTTCACAAATTCGACAACGTCGCGGCTATGATTTAAAACCTTCCGCACAACATTTTCGTTTAGGACTACAAAATATTATGTCATCTTCTTTAATTAAAGCCAACGAAAACACTAGTAACTGTGAAAATGACGAAGACAAAGAGATTAATTTTTTTAATAATGAAGGTGGCGAATTTGCTCCATATTGTGTTAATTTAAACACAGATAATGATCAGGCTGTATCACCCACTTCACATCATTCTGATTCACTTTTATTAGGTGAAAATTCACCTGTATTTGTGGATGTTCCGGTGACATTAGAAATGTGTTCACTGACATACTTTGCAGGGTATTTAGCTCACTGTTGTTTAAAAAAATTTAAATGTGAAACATGCGAAAATAATTTATTAAAGGGGAATGAAGAAATGAACGATGAAAATGAAATATTAATATTAAATAAACAATATAAGAATATAAAGAACCCTATAAAATACTTAAAAAGACCTAAAAAGGAGTTCGTTGCAATATTTAACAAATTTATTCAAATTCACAATGAATATTTTAAAATGCATTATTATGAAAAGCAACTACGTCACCGGATTTGTAAAGCCATTGAAAAGAATCGTTTAATTAACGACTGGATATACGACAATGCTAACTGCGTTACACAAAAAATATATTATAGAGCATTTAATTATTACTAAATTAAATAGACAGACGTTTTTATCCTCGTCTCAAGAAAAAACTGTATCTGCAAAGAGTAAATTAAAAATATTGAAAGGTTAAAGTATATGAGTAAATTTTATAAATTATTTTGGAAACTACAAAACTAATTTTGTTCAAATTTTTACAAAATATCTATAGGTATAGTAACATAGTTTTAATTTAGTTCATTGAACGAATGGCCATTTTTGTTTTCTCAACATTTAATGACCCCAAGAGTACGAAAAAAGTAGTCTCCCATTTCCGTCTGTCTATTTATCTGTCTGTCTGTTTGGCGTCTGTATCAATTTTTATTATTATTAGATAACTAACTTTCGATACAACTGTACCGATTGTTGTCAAATTTTGTACATGTTAGGAATATTATGTGGACGATAAAACACTAACCAAAATTAAAAAAAATTCGACCATTTCTTTTTATTTTATAATACTTATTTTATACGTATGACCTCTATATAATAATTGAATTTTATCGAAAATCTGAATACATTGTACTGTTTTTCTTCTTTTATACCAGGAAAGAATAGATGTTATTCGTAAGCACATTCTTATTTGTTGTGAAAATTGGAAGTTATTTTTTTTTTTATATTCGATAGTGTTTAGTTTAGTATAGTCAGTGACTATGTATTAACATCTATACTCGCTGGTATAGTATATTTTGTAGCATCTGTTAAACGTATACACACCTGCATTGTTCTTAAACTGTAAACAATTATTTTTATTTTTTTAGCGAAATGTTTTTCCCATGTATAATATACTTTATGATTTAAGTATGTATGTAGTTCCTGCTAAAATTATACTTTTAAACTAATACCGACGTATTAAAATGTATCCCAAAATTTTCCCACAGCAGGTTAAGCTAATCCCATTTCTTACTCTTACTCTTCTGAAAACCGTAACCGTCGCTTTTTCTAAAAATCACGAACGTCAGAATTTGAAAAATTAAAAAATATTGAAGAACTGAAAAATCGAAAAGCCTAAAATTTAAAACATTGAAAAATGAAAATATCGTAAAATTGAAAAATGGAGAAATCTAAAAATCAAAAAATAAAAAAAAATAAAAATTGAAAAATCTAAAATATAAAAATCGAAAAACTAAAAAATCAACACATCGAGAAATCAAAACTCGAAAACTAAAAAAAATTGGAAAACTGAAAAATCGAATAATATAAAAATCTAAACACAGAAAAACCGAAAAATCGAAAAGTAAAAATCAAAAACCGAAAAATCGAAACATCGAAAAATTCAAAAACTGAGACATCGAGAAATCGAAAAATCAAAATATGGAGAAATCGAGGAGTCGAAAAGTCGAAAAATTGAGAAACCGAAATAGGCCAAAATCGACAAATCGAAAAGTTAAAAATGGAAAAATTGATAATTCGGGATCTCAAAAATTGAAAAATCTAAAATTTAAAAATTGGGAAAATAAAAACATTAAAATATAGAACAACTGAGAACTCGAGAAATCGAAAAATCTAGAATTTTAAAAATGAAAAATTACAATATCGAGAAGTTGAAAAATTGAGAAATCGAAATATAAAACGGTCGAAAAACTGAAAAATAATAAAAATATCATAATAACTATATCTACTATAATGGCCGTTCATTTTTGGAACGAAGTTCCTTACGGCAGGCTTGGAGGAGATAGGAATTTTGCTGCACGACCGAACTGAAACAAATGTGATCCTAAAACCGTAACGGAAACTCCGTGGAAAAATGGCCGCCTTACAAGTGTAGGTAAGCAGAGAAAAAAATGTTGTGCCTCGGTGGGATTCGAACGCACGTCTCCTTGGTCTCCAGGCACGAATGCTTACCACCACACCACGAGACGACTTATTTATTTTCTGCTTACCGACGTGTTATTGTGCCGCCACACAAGGTTGAAGGTCCGCACACGTGCAGCTGCCTTACAAAGACACCGCCAACACGTGAAGACCGCACCGACAAAATATAAAAAATGTCCTAAACACTTTTCGTTCTCTCATCCCTTCTCTCTCTATTACCACTCCACCCCGCCAATGCATAGTATATACTCATGAATTCATGGACAAGCACGTGGCGAATACGCACATTATAGATACATTTTACTCGTGAGTAACCACGTTTATTTTCATACAATTTCAAATCGTCAAAACAATAATAAATATAGTAACAATGGCAAAGCAGAGTATCAAAAAGCGTATAGGGAACGCGAAAAAGCTAAAAAAATGAAAATAAGCAAGAAAGTTACGATATAAAGCAAAGATATCCTCTAAACTAGTGACAATATTTAAAAAGTTTATTGATTATTTTTTTAAATAATTAAAACAAATTCTCCCTTGAATTCCAAACATTTCAATATATATATATATTTTGATAATTCTACCTATTTTACGTAATTTATTATTTCCTAAAATACTGAATTTCCTAAATATTTTCCTGTACTTAAATAAAAACTAATCAGCAAAATTTAAGAGAAAAATCAAGAAAACCTACATAAAATTGAGCACGTTTTTTTTTTGCAAATTGTGTCGATTCTACATTAACCGAAGGAACTTCGTTCCTACCTGGTGTCCCACGACACCACATTTCTTTTTTTTTTTATTTAAATAAAGGATGAATTTAAACGCATACACCAGGCATCCTCCAAAAATTGGGATTTACTGGCATGTTGTCAACATGTGCTTATCATAACAATAATAATTAAAGAAAAGCTGAAATTTGGTTAAATTTGGACAAAAACCTTTCACCAGTCCACCGTTCATTTGGGGATGGGCTATTTTGCTTTAACGTAATCGCACTGGCCACAAGTCTGATGAGTTGGTGTTCGTCCAGACTACTGTTAACGTAGTTCACAAGAAAAAAGGAGGGAGAGCCACTATCCACTATTACGTTTATGGATGAAGTGAAGTGAGGGGTAAGACGGAGCATTAGCCCCGCACTTGTCCATAAGGTTGCCTCTCTTTTAACTCTATACTCACTGCTTGTACTCAGTTTTTGAAAGTTTAGAACAGAATTTCTAAAGTAGATTTCTATTTAAGAAAATTATGTTCACGTAAATGTGCACAATTACCATAACAACGAGTCTGTTCATGATAATCAAATTAATAAAAACCTAAAAAAGCAAAAAATGGATAATTCTGAAGATCTTGGCATTTTCAGATAACCTGTGCGCTACTAACCAGAAAAATAGCACTTTTTTATAATTATCTCCAAATTAAAGCCGCACTTTTCTATTGAGTACACGAAAAATAATATTAAACGCGAAATTTTAATTTGTTACACACAATAGAAATACGTATCAAACTCCGTTAAATTCGTTTTTACAACTTAATTCAGGTAATTGACGTAAATTTAGTTATCAGGTTGTTTAATGCAGCATTATAATTATTATATTATAATATAGAGATTGTACAACACATTTTTTTAAATACATAACGAATTATAACAGTAAAATTAAAAAATATTAGCGATTCTTCGTGCTTTTATGCTGAAATTCCACTAGTTCTGCTCACCGAGTGACGTCACTGCGCGCACTGGTTTCATTTTGAGCCGCACGAGTATCATACCTAGAGAATTATTATATCATTCATGATATAAACCAAAACATCACCTGTTTTGACGTTTCTTTGTGTAAACAAGTGGGTGTGACCTCGTCGTCATGGTTACGGTACACTCCACAGAAAATCCGAAATTTTTGACTAGTCATATTGAATTGAAACAACGTTTACAGTAGAAAATCTTGAATAATTTAAACTATTGATTAAAAAGCAATTTATAATTTATGCGTGACAAATAAACTATTAAACTGGTCAATTATAACCTCACTTTTAACTTGTTACATCTTCAATGACAAAAAAAGTTTTTCTTACGATCGTATTTATCCCACTTGGTCCTCGCCATTTTCGGCAGCCAAATCTCGCCTCTAACCTGTCCACAAAAATAATTCGTCCCGGATCCGCCATTTTGGGCGAATGGCGCAGGTGCACTTCCGGCAGCCGTGCCACTGTTGTCAGTTTTCGCTGTGTTGTTGTGGTTTAGCTCGAAAAAAACGAAGAGAAATGGCCTTGGCGGCGTCGAACCCGCAATAACCCGGCCGTCGCTGCAACCTGGCCAAAAAATAAAGGTACAGACCCCTTGTATTCCCGAACCAACTTAAATTCTTTGTTGTGTAAAAGCAGAAAATCGTCGACCTTGAAACGTCGGGTCAAAGCCGTCTGCTGCGACTTCCGGCCGCGCCAAATTTAAATGTGGAATGGCGATGGACAACGCGGAAGCGACTCCGGAGCTGCTGGAAAACGTGGTGATCAACGACGTGCCCACGCCCCAGTACATGATCCAGCGCATCCCGGAGAACACCCAGCTGCTGGGACCCGAGCTGCTGCAGCACCACAATGGGCTAGTGGTGGATCTGGCGGGCACGGATTTCATACCAGTTAGTTACCCCTCGGAGGCTCTCTTGTCGCAGGACTTGACCGAGGAGGACAGGAATTTGGCGGCGGCGCTGGTGGCGGTGCAGCTGAGCCAGCACCAGAAGCAGCAACAAATGCACGAAGCCGCCTTGCCAACGCTGGTGCCCAACAACGGGCTAGGTAAGCTGATTTGTAGTGGGCTGTGGAAATTGCAGTTGGTATCACTGGTTTAAATATGACTTGACACAATGTCATTTTTGAATTTTTCAGATAATAAGATCCTAGAGGAGCAGCAGCTCATCCTGACGGACAAAGAGGCCAATATTAACAACGGGTACTTGCACATAGTGGGTTCGGACAACATCTACGTCGAGAAGCAAACCAAAATAATAAACAGCCGTTTCGTGAATGTCCCGCAGAGTTTTAGTCGCGCGGAGAAGTCCGAGGATGAAAAACGGGGCTCCGATGGGGACCACAAGGCGTCTCGTAAAAGTCTTCCGCACAAGAAGCGCATTTCTCGCAAGCTTAAAAAGCAGAACCCTGTTAAAATTCAGTGCAATCTGTGCGAACAGACGTTCACTTCGAATGACGATTTTGCTCAACACGAGATTTTATGCCAAACTACGATCACTCCAGTGCACAATACGGCCTTTTCTTGTCAGATTTGTAACGCGAGTTTCCAGGACCAGTTGCGCTTTTTCGAGCACCTGAAGTCGCATTATGAGCCGTCGAGTCAAGGTGGGGCGGCGCAAGGGGACAAGGCCGACGCCGACCCCGAGAAGGACAACATCTTCTCGACTTTGCTTAACTTGACTTGTATACAGTGCAATAAGACATTCCGCAGGCAGAAGGCGTTTGAAGCGCACATGAAGGAAGTGCACCACAAGGAGGAGATGAACGAGTTCAGCGAAACCGAGGACTTGATGGAAGGGATCAACGTGGTGGTGGACCACGACAACAACTCCGACAACGACACCAAAGCTTGGTAAGAACCGTCCATGAAACAAACAAACTCTAACGCGAGTCACAGGTACAGGGACGACGACATACACCAAACTGAAGAGGACTTGAAGGAGCTGGAGGCCGAAGAACACGTCTGCCACATCTGCAAGCAACCCTTCCCGCTGCGGGCCATCCTACTCCAGCACCTGGTGACCTGCAGAGCCGACACCGGAAACACAGGTATTGTCATTGGTTAATGTCGCGGGGCGTGGTTTAACCACGGCCAACTGTATTAATACATATGGCCATCCCAATTCGTATAAAAAGTTGATTCTTTGACGTTTCCAGAATCGTTAATCAGGCAACGACATCTGTTGAGTACAATTATGAACTTGGTTGGCAAATAATTGTCAAAATGACGTTTTAAAATATCACGTTTTTCTGAAAGTGTAGATAATGGCACAAGAACATTAATGATATTACTCATATTATTTAGTTTTGAAATAAGATAGATATATTTTTACAAAACGAAAATTATTTAACAAAAAGGAAGGTACATATTCATAATTTTAAAACTTTTCTGCTGGTAGGTTTGTTACAGATCGTTATTTTCTTCAACCAGTCTGTTTGTTCCAAACAAATATTATCAATAACTGGTTTCACTGTTGCTCGAATAATTATATCATAAACTCTTGATTTATGTTCCAAGCAACAAAATAATGGATTTTGGTCCAAAGAAGGATGGAGCAGTTTACATATTTGTTGACATGTCTTTTTAGAGTTTAAAAACGGTGGTATTAGAAAGTTTTTTAAAAAGGGTAACACTTAGATTCAGTTATTTGAAGACAAATCGTGAAAAATATTTTAGATTCGTAATCTGCGAAAAATTATCTATAAGCCAACTATTTTCCGCTGGATCAGATCGTCTTTTAACTGTTACAGACAAAAAATTTTTGGAAATTACAAAAAATGTCTTCAACTAATTTTGTGAAATAGTTGAAAAATAGTTGAAAATGTCAAAAGTGCGAAAATTAGTTTTATCTTATCAAATACTAGCCCCGCCCACCCACCTTCTATTTTCTTGGAAGGTATGTGATTTGCCAAAATCAGTATTATCTTAGCAAGTACTATTTAATTATTGTTTAATCATTTATTTTGCGATTTCAATATACAATATAGTACTTGCTAAGATAATACTGATTTTGGCAAATCACATACCTTCCAAGAAACTAGAGGGCGGGTGGGGGGGCTAGTACTTCCTAAGATAAGACTAATGGTGGCAAATGACATATCCTACAAGGTAAGAGAGGGCGGGTGGGCGGGGCTAATATTTGCTAAGAAAAAAACTGATTTCAGTAAAAAACATCCCTAAGAAAATACAGGGTGGCTGGGTGGGGCTAGTACTTGCTTAAATAAGGCAATTTTTGGCAAACGACATACTCTTTAAGAGAATGGAGGGTGAGTGGGTGGGCGGGGCTAGTATTTCATAAGGTAAATTTGCGATTAGTATTCTATAAAACTAGAAAGTCAATGTTTTCCTCTCAAATAAAGCCATTTGGAACGGTTTAAAATTTTTTGGAAATGTTGGGAATTTTTGGACTCCTTTTCTCGCATTTCTCAGTTATTTGAAGAGAAATCGTGAAAAATATTTTAGATTCGTCATCTGCGAACAATTATCTATAAGCCAACTATTTTCCGTTGGATCAGATCGTCTTTTTACTGTTTCAGACAAAAAATTTTTGGAAATTACAAAGAAATGTCTTCAACTAATTTTCTGAAATAGTTGAAAAATAGTTGAAAATGTCAAAAGTGCGAAAATCAGTTTTATCTTAGCAGATACTAGCCCCGCCCACCCACCCTCTATTTTCTTAGAAGGTATGTGATTTGCCAAAATCAGTATTATCTTAGCAAGTAGTATTTAATTATTGTTTAATCATTTATTTTGCCACTTCAATATACAATATAGTACTTGCTAAGATAATACTGATTTTGGCAAATCACATACCTTCCAAGAAACTAGAGGGCGGGTGGGCGGGGCTAGTACTTGCTAAGGTAAGACTAACGGTGGCAAATGACATATCCTACAAGGTAAGAGAGGGCGGGTGGGCGGGGCTAGTGTTTGCTAACAAAAAAACTGATTTTAGTAAATAACATATTCCTAAGAAAATAGAGGGTGGGTGGGTGGGGCTAGTAGTTGCTAAGATAAGACAATATTTGGCAAACGACATACTCTTTAAGAAAATGGAGGGTGAGTGGGTGGGCGGGGCTAGTATTTCATAAGGTAAATTTGCGATTAGTATTCTATAAAACTAGAAACTCAATGTTTTTCTCTGAAATAAAGCCATTTTTTGGAAATTTTGGAGATTTTTGGAGTCCTTTCCTCGCATTTCTCAGTTATTTGAAGACAAATCGTCAAAAAATATTTTATCTATAAGTCAACTACGTATTTTCCGGTGGGTCAGATCGTCTTTTAACTGTTTCAGACAAAAATTTTCTGGAAATTACGAAAAATTGTTGTCACTTTTTTCGCTAATTTTCGAAAATAAATGAAAAATAGTTGAAAATGTCAAAAGTGCGAAAATCAGTTTTATCTTATCAAATACTGCTAGCACCGGTTTTCGTGGTTTCACTCAAGAGACTGCACATGCTTTAAAATTTATTGCCAGAAGTACATATTTGTGTGTTAAGTTTTTATTAGAACAAGCAGGCTTTTACTATGTTCTTACGCGTTCCTTTAGCGCCGATGCGGTGGAAGCAACGTTCTCACACGTGAGATTAAAAGGAGGCTCCAATGATGCAACGGATGCCAGAGCGGCAGAATATGCAATGCGTCAGATGCTCCGCTGCGGAATTGTTAAGTGTTCCAAATCATCTAATGTTTCCAATATAGACTTTGTCAGTACTGCAAAATTCTCGGTTTTGGATCATGATACAAAACAAGACAAAGAAAATTTTGATGTACCTTTCAAAAAAAAAAGATTCAAAACCTAAGTAAATTAATTGAACCCTGTGCAAACATTTCATCGGCATCTGTAGCCTTTTTGGCTGGCTACATTTTAAAGTAATTAGACGACAAATTTCATTGCGACAGCTGCCTTGTTGAAGACATTTTTTTGTAATTTCCAAAATTTTTTTGTCTGAGACAGTAAAAAGACGATGTGATCCAACGGAAAATAGTTGGCTTATAAATAATTTTTCGCAGATGACGAATCTAAAATATTTTTCACGATTTCTCTTCAAATAACTGAGAAATGCGAGAAAAGGAGTCCAAAAATTCCCAACATTTCCAAAAAATTTTAAACCGTTCCAAATGGCTTTATTTGAGAGGAAAACATTGACTTTCTAGTTTTATAGAATACTAATCGCAAATTTACCTTATGAAATACTAGCCCCGCCCACCCACTCACCCTCCATTCTCTTAAAGAGTATGTCGTTTGCCAAAAATTGCCTTATTTAAGCAAGTACTAGCCCCACCCAGCCACCCTGTATTTTCTTAGGGATGTTTTTTACTGAAATCAGTTTTTTTCTTAGCAAATATTAGCCCCGCCCACCCGCCCTCTCTTACCTTGTAGGATATGTCATTTGCCACCATTAGTCTTATCTTAGGAAGTACTAGCCCCCCCACCCGCCCTCTAGTTTCTTGGAAGGTATGTGATTTGCCAAAATCAGTATTATCTTAGCAAGTACTATATTGTATATTGAAATCGCAAAATAAATGATTAAACAATAATTAAATAGTACTTGCTAAGATAATACTGATTTTGGCAAATCACATACCTTCCAAGAAAATAGAAGGTGGGTGGGCGGGGCTAGTATTTGATAAGATAAAACTAATTTTCGCACTTTTGACATTTTCAACTATTTTTCAACTATTTCAGAAAATTAGTTGAAGACATTTTTTGTAATTTCCAAAAATTTTTTGTCTGTAACAGTTAAAAGACGATCTGCTGATCCAGCGGAAAATAGTTGGCTTATAGATAATTTTTCGCAGATTACGAATCTAAAATATTTTTCACGATTTGTCTTCAAATAACTGAATCTAAGTGTTACCCTTTTTAAAAAACTTTCTAATACCACCGTTTTTAAACTCTAAAAAGACATGTCAACAAATATGTAATCTGCTCCATCCTTCTTTGGACCAAAATCCATTATTTTGTTGCTTGGAACATAAATCAAGAGTTTGTGATATAATTATTCGAGCAACAGTGAAACCAGTTATTGATAATATTTGTTTGGAACAAACAGACTGGTTGAAGAAAATAACGATCTGTAACAAACCTACCAGCAGAAAAGTTTTAAAATTATGAATATGTACCTTCCTTTTTGTTAAATAATTTTCGTTTTGTAAAAATATATCTATCTTATTTCAAAACTAAATAATATGAGTAATATCATTAATGTTCTTGTGCCATTATCTACACTTTCAGAAAAACGTGATATTTTAAAACGTCATTTTGACAATTATTTGCCAACCAAGTTCATAATTGTACTCAACAGATGTCGTTGCCTGATTAACGATTCTGGAAACGTCAAAGAATCAACTTTTTATACGAATTGGGATGGCCATATGTATTAATACAGTTGGCCGTGGTTTAACTCAACCAATTGTCACCAGAACCCACAGCGCCATCCCTCGTCAAAAAGAAAAACAAAAAGAAAGGGACCATGACCTGTCGGGAGTGCGACCGAGTATTCACCCACAGGAACTCCTTAGTATACCACATGAGGAGCCACAGCGGCATCCGCCCCCACCAATGCGAACAGTGCGGCAAAAGCTTCTTCGCGTCCAGCGCCCTCAAGGTCCACTTACGACTGCACTCAGGTGACAAGCCCTACCACTGCCAAGAGTGCGGTAAAAATTTCCGCCAATGGGGCGACTTGAAATATCACATGACGTCATTACACTCCAATGAGAAGCAGTTTCAGTGCGAATACTGCGGCAAAGACTTCGCTCGCAAGTATTCTCTAATAGTCCACAGGCGGATTCACACAGGAGAAAAAAATTACAAGTGTGAGTTCTGCGGAAAAACTTTTAGGGCGTCGTCGTACTTACAGAATCATAGACGCATTCACACAGGTTAGTAACTCGTAAAGTTTGTATCATGTGTAGCTGGTTTTTCTGGTTTACTTAGGTGAGAAGCCTCACGAGTGTGGCGTCTGCGGGAAACCCTTCCGAGTTCGCTCAGACATGAAGCGGCACCAGAAGACGCATTCGAAGAGGTCGTGTTCGGGGAAGTCGCTGCGGTTTGCCGCTCCTGTGCAATCTGACAATAAAGTAATCAAGTCGGAAACCGGCAGTAACTTATCCGAGGATGTTTACGAGTTGAATGTGAACGTTGAGGAGTCTGAGAATCCGGCGTCGGGGCAGATTTTAGGTTACGATCACGACCAGCTGGAAACTGTTAGAGATGCAGGCACTTTGTATGTTATGATTAGTTAATTTTCTTTTGTTGTGTTTTTGCTTTCGTTTTGTTGATTTTTTCGTTTGTTTTAAGGTATCAGGGACACCAGTTATTTTTAGTTAGCTATTCGACTGATGTCCCCATCAGAAGTGTGGACTCGTCCTCCGCCTGGATTCAAACCGGTTCTTGATCTCTTTCGTTCTTAGGTTTCGAAGTTTTATATTATTTCGTAAGTTTATACAAGATGTATTTTAATAAATTATTTATATTACGCGCGGGTGTTACAATTAGACGTTGCAGGAAGGACGCCAACATTGACAACGAAAGTTACTAGATTCTTAGGGATTTATTTCCAAAAATTCCGATTTTTCCAAAAATTGTCGTCTTCGAAGATTTCTCTCTGGCCATTTCAAATTTATTTCAGTACAACCACACACGACAAATAAAAAACCTTTCTAAATTACTCTTTATTTTGACTAAATACAACTCCCGCTTCAGCGGTACAAATGATCGGCGTGAATATTCGCAGCAATCTCTGACTCCCACTTATCACCATTATTCAACAACTTCTCCTTATTGTACAACAACTCTTCGTGCGTTTCAGTCGAAAATTCGAAATTCGGCCCTTCGACGATCGCATCTACTGGACAGGCTTCTTGGCAGAAACCGCAGTAAATGCACTTGGTCATGTCAATGTCGTAGCGGGTGGTCCTCCTAGAACCGTCCTCGCGTTCTTCAGCTTCGATTGTGATGGCCTGGAATTATTTAAACACATTGCAATCAAGTTTCTAAGAAATTTTTAAAAAAGTACTTGTGCAGGACAAATCGCTTCACACAGTTTGCAAGCAATGCATCTTTCTTCGCCAGAGGGATAGCGCCGAAGGGCGTGCTCTCCTCGGAAACGGGGACTCAGAGGCCCTTTCTCAAAGGGGTAGTTGATTGTGGCGGGCTCTGTGAAGATGTGGGCCAAGGTGACGCCGAACCCTCGCACTAGTTCAGTCAAGAAAACCTTCTGGGCGGCCCTATCTACAAAAAAAATTCCAACTTAGTTTCAGAGTTATTTTGGTAAAACTGCGCCTCATATCATGAAAAATTGCCAAAAACGCACTCACCTGTAACATCAGACAAACTCGTTCCGGGCTCTTCCGGACTGACATTGTAGTATTCGCCCTTTGACGTGCTCTGGAAGCGATTCTGGCCACAAATTCTAGCCAAAACAGAGCAGGACACTGTTATGAAACAAAATTGAGGTTATGTTATAAAATAGTAACATTTCGATATTCTGAACGAATTTAAGCATACCTGGTCGGGCTACAGAATATAACTTCAAAGCACTAGCCATGTTTACTTGTACTAAATATCACACGACATTTATTTACTACTTTTGAGAAAATTTTCTGACGTTTGACGTAACGATTTTTTTTAACGATACTAGCGCCATCTGCTCAAAAACTGATTTTATTGTTTTTGCACGAATTTTTGCGTTGGTACCCATGTTTTTGCGTCAACAATCTAACCCAACTTTTTGTCCCGAACCCAAAAATGTCTATTTATTACAGCGGGACGTTTAAGCGTTCTTCGGGTGTGATCAGCGCGATTACTAAGCAATTGAAGAAGGTGAATTTAAAGCCGGTGAAAAGAATCCAGGTGCAGTTCGACCCGTTTCACCCGAATGCCGTGACAGCCAGGTAAACATAACCCCACTTTACGACCTGCCTATTTTTAGCAGAAGCGCAAGCGTTCTATATTTAAGGAATCAATAAATTCCAGAGATTTCCTCTTCCATATAACCACCCCGAAAGTTCTGGAAAGCAATTTAAACTGTGTCATTAAGCCAAACGTGGTGTGCGATCGAAGCGAGCCCGAGATAAAAGTTGATTTGTTGGAGAAAGGGTAGGTGTGGAGTGTGCATAAACACAGTCTATTTTTTGCCTTAATAGGAGTGTCAAGTTCCTCGCGAATAACTTAACGGTTTTGGAGATTTTGCAACAGTTTAATAAGCACGTGAGTAGTTTGGCGAAGCCGGAGGAGGAGACTCCCGTGCAAGTTACTAAGTTGGAGAAGAAGAGACAGAAGAAGCGATAAGATGGGGATGAAAGTGAACCACAAAAACTACCAACTCAAGTTGATAGATCATATGTATAACCAGATTCCGGCATTCACGGATGTTTTCACGGAGGAGACTTTTTATATGACCGTGGTGGCCATCGTTCTGAGCACTATAATTTTCGTGTTTATTGTTTCTCGGTATGTTACCATTAAACCTGTAGAATAAGCAAATAAATAAATTTTAGATTGTTTTTTGGTGTTTAATTTAGCGAAGTTGGTAGCGCAAGTTCTAATTTTTGTGTTAATGTTTGAATTCCGCGCCAACTGTCTTCTGCCAACGTGGTACCAACCGCACACTCAAAAAAATATGAAATGTTGTAGAGGTTAGAAGGCGGAAATTTTTTGAGTGTTTAAATCGAGTTTTGTAAACATATTTACATCGTAAATTAGGTAAATGTGGAACAGTTGAGGTAAGTTACAATATATTTCTTAATTTTATGGTTACTCAGACACAACAGATAGATACGTCTGAGATAACGTTTAACGTAGAAGTTTACAAAAGGACTGTTTATCTTTTTATGTTTGAAGCTTATATTGACCAGTTTATTTTCGCTTTTACGTTTCTTTATAGCGAAACTATGTTATCCCGGACTTGTGGTCTTCATTATCCATATCTAAAGTCAATTGATATGATTCTGGACTCCCATTATCGCCAATTTTGTATCAGGACGTCCAATCATGATTTTAATCGCTGTTTTTAAAATTCATACTATGTTTGAGTTAAAAATTTTCCGTGCATTCACTTTCGCGTCCGATAACAACATTGCAAGAATGCAACGTTAAGTTTTGCTCGTGTTGCATCAATTAATGTATAGAGGTCACCTTTGATTTTCAATTTAATTCGATTAATAGTTCGTTTTGCGTTACGTGGACATTATCTACGACAAAACCGTCGTTAAAAGGAACAATAAAAGAAAAATGCTTATCGTGATTATCGCCGTTTGATAAAAATGCCATTGATTTCGTATTCGTATTCAATTGTTTCTAAGGCGGGCCACGCTCTGACTTGCGCAATCGCCGTTTCAAGGATTCAAAAAAATCGTTAATCATGTAATCTCTTGAAAAATCACAAGTTTCTGTGAAAACTGAGACGATCTGTGTTATTTTCGAAAAAGGAAAACTGGAACTTGAAGTTTCTATTTTTAATTTATCGTACTATTGGCAGTACGCGAGCGCGACGTGGTAACGTGAAAGTTACTACACGCGCTAGCATTTTTTGGTAGTTGTTGCTATTATCGATAATTCGGTTGTTTTTTCATTTAACGTTTTAAATTGTGCGAGAAATACGTCCACAAAACGTGTATTACTGGTAAATTTTAGCTGATATGTATTCGAGAATCGCGTCCTGTCTTCAGCGCGCGTCAATGATGCCGCGTAAAACTCCCACAATCCCCTAAACTTGACGTCAATATGGCGGACGAACTTGAAAGTGTAAAACGCGTCTAGTTTGTCTAATTTAAAGTAAACACCAGCGTCCTCGGCGTCGACTTGGTCCGAAAATGAAAATTTGCCCCCCTCTCGTGTAAGTAGTGGCGGCGTTCGCCGCCGCCCGCCGCCCCGAGCCCCGCTTTTCGCGAAATATTTTGGTGGGAACGATGTTTTAAATTTGAAAATGTTGTACCAAATTCAAAATTTGAACTCGCCGAGTCGGGACCCCCTCAAACCTTCATAATTCCGTGTGATTGCAGGTGAAATCGTGCACGGCAGCAAAATGACGAACGAACAGGGAGTCACCGTCAAGCAGGAGGTGATGGACGAGGAGGAAGACAACGAAATGGACGTGGACGAAGACGTCCCCACTTTAGGCCCGGCGGCGCTGGGGCTGCAACGGGTCGGCGCCCCGGCCGCCCCCAAGCCGCCTCCCTCGCAGCCCACGCAGGTGCTCAACGCCAGAGGCATGCCAGCACGCATCCGGAAGAAAAACAAGCTGTTCTACGACGACGACATCGTCAACACGCCCCACCACCGCGTGCCCTCGGCCAAGAAGCTCAAGCAGACGCCGACGAAAAAGACCAAAGTGAGCACGCCGACGAAAGTGAAGGAGACGCCGAAGAAGCACACCTCGAGGGACGTGAAGCCCCCGAGGAACGTGTCGCCGCCGCCGCTGCAGTCGCCCGACCGCAAAATCGGCCAGAAGATAGGGCTGCGGCTGCGGAACGTGCTCAAGCTGCCCAAGGCGCACAAGTGGGTCTGCTACGAGTGGTTTTACAGTGACATCGACCGGTGCTTGTTTTCCGGGGAGAACGATTTTAGCATTTGTTTGAAGGAGTCGTTCCCGGAGCTGAAGACGCGCGAGTTGACGAGGGTGCAGTGGACGAAGATCAGGAGGATGATGGGCAAGCCGAGGCGGTGTTCGCAGGCGTTCTTCCACGAAGAGCGCCTGGAACTAGAGAAAAAAAGAAAAAAAATCAGGGCTTTGCAGCAGAGAAAGGCTACGGAAATGTCGAGTTTTAAGGACTTGCCCCCGGAGATCCCCATGCAGTTGGTTATCGGTACGAAAGTCACGGCGCGGTTGAGGAAGCCCCAGGACGGGTTGTTCACCGGAAGCATCGACGCCGTCGACACCTCCAACAACACGTACAGAATCACGTTCGAGAGACAGGGTTTGGGGACGCATTCAGTACCTGACTACGAGGTTCTTTCGAACGAGCCGCCGGAAACCATCTCGCTTTCGAGTTTCCAAAATAAGTTCAGACCTAGAAACGGATTGTCGACGTATCCGCCAAAAATGTCGCCTTACAGTAATCTGAAGTTCAAAAAGGACCCGCTCTTGTCGGGTTCCATGATAAACAAGCCCGTTTTCCCGCAAGAGGAGGGCCGGATAGGGGGCTATCCCACCAAGCTTTTGGAAAAAATGGTTTTAATAACGAAAATTTTGAACGTGAAAAAGACGAAAATTAACGAGTTGAAAGCGATGAATGCTAAAGCGGAAAAGTATAATTCTTTCCACACTGAGATCCCAGAGGAGTTTGAACGAAATTACGCGGGAATTTTGATCGACCTTGAGAAACTTAATCATGATTTGCAGATATATTTGGACGATATACAGTCGCACTGTCAGGAGATCGCGCCGGAGCCTAGCGTTGCGGCGATGTTGGCCCCCAGTCATCTCCGAGAGAAGTGTAGAGAAGAGGCCACGGATATAGTTCAGAGACAGAATTCGATAATTGCCGCTGATAAAGATCCAGTGAGGAATCAGTCCATTTTGGACTTGATCACGGATCTTACGGCTTTAATGTTACAAGTGAAAAGTCTGGCAGACTCGGATCAAAATGCGTACGAATTGCAAGTTTTGCAAGGGACCATGGAGCAAATAAAACGAAAGCTCAGTCCCGACAACCAGCTCGTGTTTCAAAATTCGGTGGAAATTCACATGAAGCACATACAAGTTGGTTTAGGACAGAATCTTGATAAAAAATTAATTGCAAATTGTGTCGCAAAAATATAACACTCCTTGAAATTGACTTTCGTTTATATTGCAGATTTTATTTTAACGCATATGATGCCGTGCAATATCATTTATTAGAGTGGTACATTTCAGTTTATTCTTTTATCTAAGCTGAATTATCAGTGGTTTTATTTATAGTTATTATAATTGTGTGTCTTTAAGCCGCATGTGTATATTTACCTGTACAATTAATAAAATGTATATATGGTAGGCAGTCGGCTGTAATTTTGAATAATTGAAATTTGTTCATTTTTATCAAGTTAAGAAAAAGCTAATGTACTTGAAAAAAATTTTATTGAACCCCCCTATCTATTTCTTACGCTCCTGCAACTCTTTCAACAACTCATCAGCATCCTCTGGAGATTTAACCCGTAGCAAAATGGGCACTGGTGGTGGTTGCATCTCTGGATTGGGAACGCACACCAACATCACGTCCTTCTTCCCCATCCTCTGCATGGGAATCCCTTCCGACAGGATAAAATTGCAAAGCAGTCGCCCCAGATTGGTGTCGGCGCGGACGATCAGCTGAACCTTGGCGCTATCCGGGACCGGCTTCAAATACAAAGTCCCGACACCATGATCCCCAAAACTCCCGTCCTTCTTGACAAAAACTTTGCAGCGGGTGCTATAAACGTGCCCTTCTTCCACGACCGGCGTAAATTCGACCTTCGGGGGCTCATCCTCTTCCTCCGCGCCCTCGTCCTTCGGAGGATCCGCGGGTTTGACCACCGTACTCGTGAAAGAAAATTTCCCGCTCTCTGAACTCGTCGCGCTTCCGAATGAGAAAGTTGGCTTCGCGGAGTTGTCGCTACTTGAACTTCCGAACGAGAAAGTTGGCTTTGTGGAAGCGTCACTAGTCGAGCTTTGAGTGACGGTTGTCGCCCCGAATGAAAAACCGACGCTTGGGGTTGTGGTGGTGGTGGTACCGAAGGATAATTTAGACGATGTCGACGTGGACGCTGGGGCTACGCCAAACGAGAACGTGCTCGTAGTGCTCTTCTCGGCTTTGCCTGACGTCGCTTGAGCTTTCAATTTTTCTAATTCATTTATGTATTTATCGTAGTCTTTGAAAATGGGTTGTAGGTTAATCAACGGGTTTGTACTAACGTGTTTCTTGATCCATTCAGTCACGCTTTCGTTTAAGCCTTTCAGTTTCGCGTAATACTCATCTAGATTTTTTTCCGGAGGCTCCTCCGTCTTTTTTTCCGTGGTTCCGTTTGTCTTGGGTGTTTCAGTTTGGTTTGACAGAGTTGAGAGAAAGCTGAACGTGGTCGACGTACTATTCGAAGTTTGGGGTTTCCCGAACCCTGAGAAGCCCCCGAAAGCGCCACTTTTTCCGTCTTCATTCTGAAAATCGAAAATTAGGGACGGGTTAAGGCGGGGGTGAAAACTCACTTGTACCGACGACAACGGGTTTCGCCTCTTGGCGACTTTGATTACCCTTTTTTTCAAGGCGTCTTCGCTGGCTCTGGAAAAAGTGCCCGCGTCTTCTGGTTCTTCCTCCTTGTTCCAGTTATCATGGTTTAGCTCTGACGCTGCTGTTCTCTTGGCCATGGAATTTAATTTTAGGTTAGGATTTTGCACGCACACTACACTGATTCCTGAAGATTTTCAAATATCACAGACTCGGTTCGGTTTCGTTTTTAACATCACAAACAAGTTGGTTTCGTGGCTTTCGCTAATAAATTTACTGGGTTTAAAAAAAATAGTTTGGACGATCACCGGGTTATGTCAGAATGTCACTATTTTTTAGTTTGGCCAACGGTCACGTGATTATTTTACTAAAAAAACGCGGAACAACCTGTTACAGTTTGAAAAAAATGGCGCGACTTTTGAATTATATTTTGATTAAAACTAAGTGTGATGTATTTTTAAATAAATTTGTTTTGTGAAAGTAAGTCAGACGGTTGGTAAAATTCCATAAAAGTTTATTTAACCCTTTCACCAGAATTACAAAGAATTTTTGTAATTTACAGTTCGTGTATAAATAAAAAATAAATATATCTATATTTTTGAATGAAATGAAGGAATGTCTCGTAACAAGTCCCTAATATCTACACTACAATAATAGATGTCTACGAAAATAAACTCTTGTCTTATTAGATAAGTTTTGTCGTAAAATAAAAGGGGAGTGCAAATTTCTGATAAGGCACTGCAAAACATATTGCACGAAATAAAATTACCATAAAATATAACAATAAATACTGTACAAACTATTTTGTTTCTGTCTCATGGAATCAACAAGACACTAAAATGGAATGTATATAAAATGGAAACTTAACCCTACTTCTTGTAACAATGTATTAAACGAAGCTCCAACTAGTAATCCTAAGCTCTTGCTTTACAATATATAATCTGGAAATATCATCCTAGTAAATATATAATTTTCTCTCATCTAATGGACGGATAAGATTTAGAGCAATCTTCAGGTAATAGGCAATCGGCAGGCACTTATTTTCCAAAAGGGAATGTTAAAACGCAAGGAATGAAAAAGTCGGCCCACGCCCCCGACTCATCTAACCAAGAAATGCAACTCTATCAACAATTTTTACAACAAATTATCACATCGCTTCAATTTTCCATGTAAAACTTGCACTGTAAGAAACCTAACCTAAACTTTACAAAAACCATGTCATTTTAAGTAAAACAAGCCTACTGATGACTTTTGCTTAGCAAATGCGAATTGAATTCGTACACGTTGCAGCACTGCTCCCCGCAGATGTTGCACTTCCAGGGGTTCGCATCCGAGTGGCACCCCTTGTGGAGGAAGTACAGCGTCTGGTCGGGGAAGCCGATCCCGCAGAAAATGCACTGCAAGCTCGACAGCGATCGCTTCCCCATCGCCCGCCACAGCGACGAGTCCGAGGGCTGCTCGGGCCCCGTGCTCGTGATGGCCCCGTTCGTGGTGGTGGCCGTGTCGCTGGGGGAGGTCTCCGGGTTGGGGTTGGGGCTGGCCGTCGACCGGCCCCGCGGCGACGACGTCATCCGCGACACGATCTTGCGCTTGAGGTCGTCCCGCAGCAGGCTCTTCAGCGGCGAGACCTTGATCAGCGAGCTGAGGCTGCTCGAGGTCGCCGTCTGCATTTGTACGCTTCCCGAGGGGGAGGTGCTGGGGTTGGGTCCGTTCCGCTTGGACACGTCGTATAGCTCTTCGCCGGGCTCTTGCTTGATCGGGATCAACGAGATCGAGGGCGTTATGTTCGTTTCTTGGTCTATTCGCAGAGAGTTGGCCTGGATGTGGCTGCTGGACGGAGCGTTCGAGTTGGAGTCGGCGGACTGGGGCGAGCCGGGGCAGTCGCCGTTCATTCGCTGGGAGGCTTCGCCGCTCTGACCCGGCAGGTTGGACCTTTGATCGTTCTGGGGGACGATTAACGCTATGAAGAAAAAGTGGAGTCCCCAAACGGGTCAACTTACGAGAGTGGGGGAGAATACAGGGGCCGGGGCGTCCGCCATGGAGATTTCCACATGTGGTGTCAAAAAGTGCATGGGCGGCGTTGCATTATCCGTTGACCTTGCCCCTGTGGAGTCCCCCGAGTCGCTGTAATTGGCTCCAGTGACGCTAACCGAAACACTCCCACCGGCCAAATTCCCCAACGACGTCAGAGCGCTGTCCATCGAAAAACCCTGTTGAGCGGCGGCGGCAAAAAGCGAAGCCTGCGACCCAGCCGGCCCTGGATTGTCCAAGTCGATGCCATGTCTGGAACCCAAACGCAGCTACATACAATATTTTGTAAAATTTCATTAGTATCATGTGATCGAAAAAAAGTGCTCTAGTAGGCCATGACGATTATTTTTAAAATAATTATGTTGGCACCAATGCGCTTCTGTTTAGTTTGAGAGTTGTTGAAGGTCGATTTATAAACTTGCCGTTGAAATTTGGCACGCCGTTGGGTTTTCAACCAATCAAATTGCGGTACTGTCAGTGCTGCCAACTTGTGGGACAATCCCCTGAAGTAGGGGCGACATTTTTCTGGTGGCAGTAATACCACGAAAATCAAATATTGATAGAGATAATGAGGTCCACTAATGTTAAGCCATTTAATCACGTGTCCACCAAAACCCTCATATTTTAAATAGCTGCCATCATTTTGTACACTGTAGCTTTCTGTCAGTACTTATGCATTGTTGAAGATAGTTCTCGACGTTTAAATCAACAAGATTTATTATTATTCGTCTCAAAAACAGATTAGGGATTATAACTACAACATGTTTAAAATGGTAAATTTTTGACGGAAAGTATCGATTTTTCAATTAGGCTCCGCCTCTCGGTCTGACAACGAATGAAAATTCATCACAACTGAGCTTGGGATGTATATGGGTGGAGCTTAATTTTTGTCTTGTTTTCTCTTAATATACACGTGTTTAAAAACACGATTTTCAAAAACAAGTTGTTTATTTCTTGTAGAGAGATAAGGAGTTTGCAATTAAGCTCCGCCCCCTTGGTTCACGACAAATAAAACAATCATCAGAATTGAGATAGGGCGGGTGGGTGGGGTTTATATTTTGCCTTTTTTTAAATATATAAAGCCATTTTTTCATAACAAGAAACTTAAAACATGGCTAAAATGATACATTTTTGCAAGGAAATATGGATTTTGCAATTATGGGGCGAAACCAAATGCCAAAATCGATATTTCCTTGTACAAATTTTCCATTTTAAACATGTTTTAAGTTTCATATTGTGAAAAGAAGTCTACACATATTAAAACAACAAGACAAAACGTTAGCCCGCCCACCATGAACTAAGGGGGCGGAGCTGAAGCGGAAAATACTTATTTCTTTACAAGAAATTAAAAATGTGTTCTTGAGTGTCGTGTTGTCCAAAAAATACTATATATGTTAAGAAAAACGGGGCAAAATAATAACCCCCGCCCACCCACCCCATCTCAATTGTGACGATTTTTCTATTCTTAGAAACTTAAAGCAGGTTTAAAATGGTAAATTTTTGTAAAGAAATATGGATTTTGCAATTAGGCTTCGCCCCTAGGTCTGGCAACGAATCAAAACTTCATTACTACATATTTAGATCAGGGCAGGTACCGGTGGGGCTTCTTTTTTGGTTTTCTTTTTTAATTAATACATTTAGTTTTTTTTTGTATAACATGATTACTTAAGAACATATTTCACATAGTAATTTCTCGTAGAAAATAAGGATTTTTACAATTAAGCTCCGCCCCTCGGCTTACGACGAATAAAAAAAATCATCCGAATTGAGATAGGGCGGGTGGGCGGGGCTTTTGTTTTTTTTTTGCTTATATACATAGCCATCTTTTCACAACAAGAAACTTGGAACATGGTTAAAATGGTAAATTTTTGCAAGGAAATATGGATTTTGCAATTCTTGGGCGGAGACTAATTCCAAAATCAATATTTCCTTACATAAATTTTCCATTTTAAACATGTTTTAAATTTCATGTTCTGAAAATAAGGCTACACATATTAAAACAAAAAGGCAAATTGTCCGCCCGCCCACCCGCCCTGTCGCAATTGTGATGATTTTCTTATTCGCCGTGAACCAAGAGGGCGGAGCTTAACTGCTAAATACTTATTTCTTTACAAGAAATTAAATACGTATTTTTGAATATCGTGTTCAAAGAATACAATGAATATTAAGAAAAAAAGGCAAAATATAAACCCCGCCCACCCACCCCATCTCAACTGTAATGACTTTTTTATTCTTAGAAACTTAAAACACGTTTAAAATAGTAAATTTTTGTAAAGAAATATGGACTTTGTAATTAGGCTCCGCCCTTAGGTCTGATAACGAATGAAAAATTCATCACGATTGAGATCGAGACGGTTGGGTGGGGCTTCTCTTTTTCTCATTTAGTTTTCTTTGTATAACACAATTTACTTGAGAACATATTTCAGATAGTAATTTCTCGTAGAAAAATAAGGATTTTACCATTAAGCTCCGCCCCTCGACTTACGACGAATAAAAAAATCATCCGAATTGAGATAGGGCGGGTGGGCGGGGCTTACATTTTGCCTTTTTTTTCTTAATATGTGTAGTCATCTTTTCACAACAAGAAACTTAAACCATGTTTAAAATGGTAAATTTGTATAGAGAAATACTGATTTTAAAATTATGCTCCGCCTCTCGGTCTGACAACCAATGAAAAGTTCATCACAATTAAGATCGAGACGGATGGGTGGGGCTTCTTTTTTGGTGTTCTTTTTTAATTAATACATTTAGACCTGGTTTATAGAAACCGAAGTTAAAGTTAATTCGCGATTAACTTTTAATTGAGGTTCGTTGCTAGGCGACGTGCAGGTTTTAACCAATCACGAACTCCCATTCCACATTTTAATCCAGTGTTAAATTAATCGAGGATTAAATATTTAACTCGCGCTTCTATAAACCGGCCCTTAGGTTTTTTTTTTGTATAACACGATTACTTAAGAACATATTTCACATAGTAATTTCTCGTAGAAAAATCAGGATTTTACAATTAAGCTCTGCCCCTCGGCTTACGACGAATAAAAAAAATCATCCGAATTGAGATAGGGCGGGTGGGCGGGGCTTATATTTTGTTTTTTTTTTGCTTAATATACATAGCCATCTTTTCACAACAAGAAACTTAGAACATGGTTAAAATGGTGCTTTTTTCCAAGGAAATATAGATTTTGCAATTATGGGGCAGAGCTTAATTGCAAAATCGATATTTCCTTATACAAATTTTCCATTTTAAACATGTTTTTAAGTTTCTTGTTCTGAAAAGACCACTACATTTATTAAGAAAAAAGGCAAAATATAAGCCCCGCCCACCCACCCATGTCTCAATTGTGATGATTTTTTTATTCGCCGTGAATCAAAGGGGCGAAGCTTAACTGCAAAATATTTATTTCTTTACAAGAAATTAAAAACATGTTTTTGAGTATCATCTTGTTCAAATAATACTAAGTATATTCAGACAAAAGGCGAAATATAAACCCCACCCACCCACCCTATCTCAATTGTGATGATTTTTTTGAGTATCATCTTGTTCAAAGAATACTAAGTATATTCAGAAAAAAGGCAAAATATAAACTCCATCCGCCCACCCCATCTCAATTGTGATGATTTTTTTAAATCTTAGAAACTTAAAATACATTTAAAATGGTAATAGCACAATGTTCAAAAACATGTCTTACATGGTACTTTCTAGTACAGAAATAATAAGGATTTTGCAGTTAAGCTCCGCCCCCTTGGCTCACGACGAATAAAAAAATCATCACAATTGAGATAGGGTGGGTGGGCGGGGCTTACATTTTACCTATTTTTTTTAATATGTGCAGTCATCTTTTCACAACAAGAAACTTAAAACATGTTTAAAATGGTAAATTTTTGTAAGGAAATATGGATTTTGCAATTAGGCTCCGCCCATAGGTCTGCTAACCAATGAAAACTTCATTACTATTTAGATCAGGGCAGGTATGGGTGAGGCTTAATCTCTGGCTTTAATTTTTTCTTAATATACATTGTACTCTTTGAATAACGTGATACTCAAAAACATATTTTTAATTTCTCGTAGAGAAATAAGGATTTTGCAGTTAAGCTCCACCTTCTTGGGACAGGGTGGGTGGGCGGGGCTACATTTTGCCTTTTTTTTCTTGGTATGTACAGACTTATTTCCACAACAAGAAAGTTAAAAATGTCTACAACCCCTTTAAATAGGGCAAAAATTGAACATCTAAGTTACTATCAACGGCAACTTGGCAACAGAGTTAATAAATGACAATTTTCAACTCTAAAAACAAAGTCAGCGGGAACTTCAACGTCAACAGCAAGTTTATAAATCCCACTTTACGATCACGTGACTAAATTGTGGTTAACATCTAGCCACTAGATGTCTCTAGCGTAGAGCCAATCAGAACGGTTTTAGCTATAGCCCCTAGAAATACATAGTATCGTCATCCATTGTTGTACGAGTGGAGCAAATGCAGTTGGTAACGCAAAAAATTCCCCTGGTTTGGAACCAAATTGTGTCAGCAGAGAGTTGACAGCGCGTAAACCGTTGTTGTCACGTGGTCTTGGCGTAGTCTTTTTGTTTAAAGTCAATTAATATAACTAATAATTATTAAATAAGATTTTATTGATTAAATTTTATATTTTATTCAAATTCAAAATCCATATTTTGTATATAAACTACAAACTTTAAATCCAACATAAAACCATTTTAAATTTCGCGGTCTGTCAAATGGTGTTGATAATTTTTGTTTTTGTTAAGTTTCCGCCAGGTTTGCTCCAGGGTGACGATACTATGTGTTTTCTAGGGGCTATAGATTTTAGCCTTTGCAAGATTGTCACGTGTTAAAAGTTTAAATTTAACTACTCGAGATTGGTAGCACTGATGATTTAAAAGTGACATATTAACTTCAAGCACGTTTGTTCAACGTGACAGTTCTGTCAAGTATGACACTCTCACGAACAAATAAACGTTGTCACGTTGCCAATAATTTGACACTTTGTATTTTCCGTTCTGAATTATTGGCAACAATGCTAGCATCTCAGTTCACAGTTGCCAATTTTAACAAAAAGCAAGTATGCCGTCATAGAATTTTAAGTGTTGCCAACCTGACAAAAAACAACATTTTGCTATCGTCCCTACCTGTTGAAGAAATGCACCCGCAGACTCTTCATCGATCCTGCCCTGTAGCTGCACAGCGGACAGGACTTCACCAGGTCGTGCTGCCCCACGTGCTCGTTCTGGAAGTGCGCCCTCATCGCGATCTGCCTCTGAAAGCCCCTGTTGCAGATCGGGCAGTGGTAGGGCAGGGTCTTCGTGTGTGTGGTGAAGTGCTCCGCCAGATGGTCCTTGCGGAAGAAGCGCTTCTGGCAGACCCTGCACTCGTAGGGCTTCACCCCCGTGTGGCGCATCTTGTGCCGACGCATGTTGGCCCCGTTCGAGAACTTCATGTTGCAGACGTCGCACTCGAACATCTTGCGGTGTATCCGATCGGGGGGCGAGTTGTTGTTCTCGGCTTCCATCTTGACCTCGCTGGTGGAGTGCGCCTGGGCGACGTGGGCGGCTAGGGCTACCTGGCTGACCCCGTCAAAGTCGCATCGGTTGCAGCGGTGCGTGCCCTCGCTCGAGTCGTAGTTCGTGTTGGAGCCGGTCACGCGCTCGGCCTCGTTCTGGTCCCCGTCGTCCTCCTGGGTGCCGTCGGGCGTCTCCTGCGTGGGGCCACCGCTTCCCGAATCTGCCTCATTCTCGGCTGCAGTGTCGGCCATGATCACCGCAGGTACTTGAAGAACTGGGCTGGTGGTTTTCGCGATTCCATCAACACCTGGGGGAGAGAAGGAAGTCAGACAAACTCTTTGAGAGTGCGGCAGGGTGGAAAAGAGAGGAACAGGAAGAGACTAACTTCGTTCGAATCAAAATTTGGTTGTTGATGTTTATAAAAGCATAGATTTGAATCGCTGCTAGTGACATGGAAAAATCCCTAGATTTGACACAAATGAAATGACAGTTTGACTACAAATGGAGCGAAAGTGTAAATTCTATTTAACAAAATTAATAAATATAGAAAAAATGGGCGAAAATTATTATTATTATTATTATTACTTTTTTCCTAATGTACATTAATTTTTACCACCACGACCAAGAACCAACTTGTTACGTAAAGCGCCACTATCGCATATGTACATAAATGCTGGAAAACTATATGAAGATATTTTTTGCTGATGTAAAATGTAATGGGAAAGCATTTATTATTATTTTCATAGTACTATATTTTTTTATTTTTTTTTATATATTTTTTATTATAGTATTATTGTATGTACTACTTTTTGTTTTTTCTCTTTTTAGTATTGTCCTATAAAAGGACTGTATATCTGTTGGGCAATAAAAGTTATTTATTATTATTTATTATTATTATTATTATTATAGATGATGTCATCCGATTATTGGTGGGGATGATTAGTCAAGCAAAAATATGCTCATAAAAAATCTGTACGTGGCTAATGAAGCATGGAAATATCTTCCCCAAGGGGGTCTCTACTCGGAACATTTTTATTGCTTTTCAGCCTAGTTTGCCATCCTCTGATCGCCATTATCGTTATTTTAATGTAGGGCGATATTCGGTGAATGTCACTATAAAACCATCCAGAACCAAAAGATTATTAGATTTTTTTGTCTCTAGAGAATTTATTGTTGTTCGATGTGCCGCCTACAATTGCAGTTAAATGAATTAGACATTACAAACTGGTAAGTGGTTGGTTTGATAAAATTATTATAAACCCGTATTTCGACAAGGCGGCAAAAGTTAAAAGCCAACGTGACAAAAATAAAAAAAAAATATTTTAATCGTTGAACTTGACATTCCAATTTTTTGTTATCAAAAACTAGCGCAGTTTCATAGCCAGTCTGTATACTACACCAATTTTTTTTTGTAAAAAAAGTGGATATTTTTTATTAATTGAACCCATAAATGTGTGTACTAGATGTAATAATAATATAATGGTCAACTAGATTAGCTTTCTCAAGTTTCCAAATTCTCTACATTCTAAAAATTATTTGTCCCAAGTTCGAAACTTTCAAGGTTATTGGACGTGATTATCACCGATATAAGGGCTGCACAAACTAAACCGAATCGAATTAAACAATGCAGCAACAACTTGATTAATTTTTTTTTTTAAGTGACCTTCATTTTGTATGGCGCGAGAAAAAAATGGCGAAAAAGCGTCTACAGCGTAAATATAAGAAGTGCGGTGTTATTGTTTATCTGATTCTGAAAATAAACACTGCATTAAACAAGATATAAAGGACATAAAACTACAATTACCACGATAGATAGAATTATTTGCAAGTTGTGGCCTTTTCAAGATTAGTCAGAAATTGATTATTATCGACAAGGTTCCGATAAGTCATTATCGTCCCAACATTTCTAGCTTATCAGCAAACCCAATGTAAATTGAAAAATTCGAGGTAAAAACGTCCCTTTTTCGTTCTCGGAACTTTCCTCACGACCTCGTTTTCCGCAAGAAGTCCGCTTTTCTTTCCCAAGGAGAAATTTATTTCACATCGCATAGACCGCTGAGCACATTTTTGCAAAATGTTTTGTGGTCGTTCGATTGCAGGCACGTGTCCAAAGTAGTTAGTTGAGCAACGGCGCGTTTTTCGAGCACTTCTTGCTCGCCAAGCTCGATCTTGCGTTAGCACCACGTTACGTCATTGTTTACTCGGCAAACCCGAATCTTCGGTAGTGCGCGATAATTCGGCTGCGAAAACTACAATAAACAGGAGTGACTCACCGAACGATTTGGACTTTCTTCTCATCAAGGATTAATCCGATTTTGAAATTGGCGAATCGTGGTTCGAACGCAGCCCTTGGGTTTGGAGTTGGAACGGTACTGCAATGGGAGAGTACGATGAGGACGGGCTTGCGAGGAGGAGGCGAAATGGGTCGAGATGAGGCAATTAAGAGAACTTTCTACAGTGTTCGGTAGATTGGTGTCGTAAAGTGGCGCCTTAAGGGCTAACAGCCCCTCGCGGTACCAACCGCACCGCTCCGCCGCGAAAGTCACTAACGGGGTACGGGCTTACGGAGCACGACGCGCCACCCAAGCCCACGAAACCGAGTTTCTCAAGCGCCCCGACCCATATCGGAGCCCACTTTCCCAACACCAATTAGCCTATTACATCACACCACCAGAAAACGAAGAAAATGAAGAAGCGTGGCCTACAAACTCCGCAACGTCGACACAGCACAAAGTAACGTTATTTGCGAAACGAGGGCCCCAGACGTCCCGATCGAGTGCGCTGTTCCGACTTTCAGCACCACATAACAACAAATTCGACATAACCTAACTTTGGCTGTGTTGCGTTGCGCCTTTTCGGGACTACCTACAAACACTTACGTGCTCGGAACGTTTACACTACAAACTACATTTAAAAAACACCTGTACAGCGTTTGACCGCTTTTCGGCCATTCCAGGCTGACCTGTCGGAGGAAGTGGGATTGTGAGCCGACCAGGGCCGGACTAGCCCGCCGCGGCCACGCTGTCATCGGGATCTAGGCCAGCGCGCCATCGGGGCGCCCCAGCGCGGACTCAGGTGTGTCGGTGGCATCGCGAGCCGCACAATACTTACGCGCGGGAGTGCGGCCCTGGGTTAGAGATGGGCGCGCGGGACTTACGAACTCGAAAGATAGCGAAGACGGGGTTGCGGCGGCGGTCGCGGAGGGTGGGGGCCGGGGGCGGGCGATAAGGAGCTGTGTGCCGGTGGATTGGGGGCGGATGGGGCGGCGCGGAATCATGGCTGCGGGCAGTTTTCACGCGCGCACATCTCTAAAGGGGACTGGGATAGGCCGCTAGCGGGCTTTTGTGGTTCGGTTATTGCGGTCTTCGCGTACAACAGGTGTTTTATTGTTGCGATGGGTCTGTGCCACCTTGCTGTACACCTTGTGGGTGCGCTAGGAGGGGTGGTTTCGTTCGATTCTTGAAAGTTTTATGACTCTGGCTTTTTAAGCGAAACTAATAAAGTTTTTGTTAGATTATTTGACGTGTTTTGGGGAGTATTAAAATTAGTGGTAGTACTTCAGCGTTGCTTACGTACCAAAATTGTTTCAGTGTTTGTTTGAAGTAATTTTTATTTAATAATTTAAATTTTCCGCATGATTTCACCTTTATAGGTTTCTGAAGTAACTAATCAAAGTTTGAGCCGGTCGATGGCGCCACATATCACTGTCACTTCACTCGACCCAAGTTTTAACAAATAGTTTATTATTAAAAGCAATAACTGACTTTTTAAAAATTGCTTTTACATAATTAATTAATTAGTCAGACGTACGGACTGTGGTTGAGCTGAAGAGTCGCTAAAATACAATTTATTTGTAACTGTATTTATTACACGCAGTAAATATGCAACCAATTATACACAATTTGAAACACGTGAAAACAGTCCATTATGAGTTTTCGTGATTTCTGAAGGTGTTCTTTTTCCGTACAGATTTTTGTTCTTATCCATCCATCAATTATATTAATGGAACCATCTTTACAATAAAGCTTAAATTAAAAAAATGTGCCATAATTTAATTTTTGATATGCAGATGGTTTGACAGACAGGTGTGCCACAAGATTTGTAATTCAGAAAATAAATGAGTATACCATTATTTTCTAAAACTTCTGTTTCATGTTCGAATTATTTAAGAGCTTTAGAAAAGATAAGTTAGGAAAAAGGAGAGAGTATAGAGGGGAGAATTATGGATGTTGCACAAAATAAACAGAGTGTAATTAATGGGACTGGTGTATATTGACTTCGATTAAAAGGTAACAAGTCTGTGTATTTAATAATTTTAAAAATTGTGGTTCTTCGTTAAATTTTTTAATTATTTTTTCCTGATAGTCCAAACAACGTGTCATACACCGTTTTTTTGAACGCCTGTATATTAATTAAACATACTTTTCGTTATTTACCATTAAGGTCGATTTATAAACTTGCCGTTGTCGTTGATGTTTGCCGTTGACGTTGCCGTTGTCGTTGGGTTTCAACCAATCAAATGCCGGTAGTGTGCAATGCTGGCAATTTGAAGGAAAATCCTCTGAAGTAAGAAAGCTAAAACATATTTAAAATTGTAAATTTTTGTAGGAAAGTATCGATTTTGCAGTTAGGCTCCACCCCTCGGTCTGACAACGAATGAAAAATTCATCATAGTTGAGTTTAAGATGAATATGGGTGGGGCTTAATTTTTGGCTGGTTTTTTTCTTAATATACGTAGTATTCTTTGAACAACACGATACTCAAAAAGATGTTCTTTATTTCTTGTAGAGAAACAAGGATTTCGCAATTAAGCTCCGCCCCCTTGGTTCACGACGATTAAAAAAATCATCACAATTGAGATAGGGCGGGTGGGCGGGGCTTACATTTTGCCTTTTTTTCTTAACATATGTAGTCATCTTTTCACAGCAAGAAACTTAAAATATGTTGAAAATGGTAAATCTGTATAGGGAAATACCGATTTTGCAATTACGCTCCGGCCCTCAGTTTGGTAACGAATGAAAAATTCATCACGACTGAGATCGAGACGGATGAGTGGAGCTTCTCTTTCGGTTTTCTTTTTTAATTAATACATTTAAAGTTTTCTTTGCATAACACGATTACTTAAGGACATATTTCATATGATAATTTCTCGTAGAGAAATACGGATTTTGCAGTTACGCTTCGGCCTCTTGACTCACGACGTATAAAAAAAATCATCAGAAATGAGATAGGGTGGGTGGGCGGGGTTTATATTTTGCCTTGTCTTTTAAATATATAAAGCCATTTTTTCATAACAAGAAACTTAAAACATGGTTAAAATGGTACATTTTTGCAAGGAAATATGGATTTTTCAATTATGGGGCGGAGACTAATTGCAAAATCGATATTTCCTTATACAAAATTTCCATTTAATCATGTTTAGAGTTTCATGTTGTGAAAAGAAGTCTACACATATTAAAACAAAAAGACATAACGTCAGCCCGCCCACCCACGCTATCTCAATTCTGATGACTTTTTTTATTCACTGTGTACCAAGGGGGTGGAGCTTAACTGGAAAATCATTATTTTTTTTACAAAAAATTAAAAACATGTTTTTGAGTATCGTGTTGTTCAAAGAATAATATGTATATATATTACGAAAAAAAGGCAAAATAATAACCCCTCACCCACCCTATCTCAATTGTGACGATTTTTCTATTCTTAGAAACTTGAAACAGGTTTAAAACGGTAAATTTTTGTAAGGAAATGTGGATTTTGCAATTAGGCTCCGCCCCTAGGTCTGACAACGAATGAAAACTTCATTACTACATATTTAGATCAGGACAGGTATGAGTGGAGCCTAAACTTTGGCGTTAATTTTTTCTTAATACACATTGTATTATTTGACCAACACGATAGGACTCAAAAACATGTTTTTAATTTCTCGTAGAGAAATAAGGATTTTGCAGTTAAGCTCCGCCCTCTTGACTCACGACGAATAAAAAAAATCATTACAATTGAGATAGGGTGGGTGGGTGGGGTTTATATTTTGCCTGTTTCTTTTCTTAATGTACAAAGCCATCTTTTCGTAACAAGAAACTTAAAACATGGTTAAAATGGTACAGTTTTGCAAGGAAATATGGATTTTTCAATTATGGGGCGGAGTCTAATTGCAAATTTCCTTATACAAAATTTTCATTTTAAACATGTATTAAGTTTCATGTTGTGAAAAGAAGTCTGCACATTTTAAAACAACAAGACAAAACGTCAGCCCGCCCACCCGCCCTGTCTCAATTGTGATGATTTTTTTTATTCACCGTAAACTATGGGGGCGGAGCTTAACTGCAAAATACTTAGTTCTTTACAAGAAATTAAAAACGTGTTCTTGAGTATCGTGTTGTCCAAAGAATACTAAATATGTTAAGAAAAACGGGGCAGAATAGTAACCCCCGCCCACCCACCCCATCTCAATTGTGACGATTTTTCTACTCTTAGAAACTTAAAACAGGTTTAAAACGGTAAATTTTTGTAAGATAATGTGGATTTTGCAATTAGGCTCCGCCTCTAAGTCTGGCAACGAATGAAAACTTCATTACTACATATTTAAATCAGGGCAGGTATGGGTGGAGCCTAAACTTTGGCTTTAATTTTTTCTTAATATACGTAGTATTCTTTGGGTAACGCGATACTCAAAAACGTATCTTACATGGTAATTTCTTGTTGAGAAATAATACGGATTTTGCAATTAAATTCCACTGGTTTGGCTCTCAACGATTTAAATTAGTCATCACAATTGAGATAGGGTGGGTGGGCGGGGTTTATATTTTGCCTGTTTTCTTACTATACGTAGTCGTCTTTTCAGAACAAGAAACTCAAAACATGTTTAAGGTGGTAAATTCTTGTAGACAAATGGATTTTGGAATTAAGCCCCACCTTTCGATCTGACAACGAATGAAAAATTCATCACAATTGAGAATTGACATTGAGGCGGGTATGGGTGGGGCTTAATTTTTGGCTTTAAATTTTTCTTAATATACATACCTAATCAGTTAAGCTCTGCCTTCTTGACTGACGATGAATAAAAATAAATCATCACAATTGAGACAGGGTGGGTGGGCGGGGCTACATTTTGCCTCTTTTTTCTTAATATGTGTAGACTTATTTCGACAACAAGAAACTTAAAAATGTCTAAACGGGTAAATTCTCGTAGTAATCAACTTAAATCCTCCACTTTTCTTCTACAACAGAGTTGAACATCAAAGTTACTTTCCACGGTAACTTGATAACGGAGTTTATAAATTACAATTTTCAGCTCTAAAAGCAACGTCAGCGGGAACTTCAACGTCAACAACAAGTTTATAAATCCCACTTTACGATCACGTGACTAAATTGTGGTTAAGATCCAGCCAGTAGATATCTCTAGCGTAGAACTGTAAGCAACGATTTTAGCCTTTGCAAGATTGTCACGTGTCAAAAGTTTAAATTTAACTACTCGAGATTGGTAGCACTGATGATTTAAAAGTGACAACGTAAACGTAATGTCATTTTCAATCAGTGATGGCAACTATCAAATTTGTGTCCCAGCTTACTGTAAATCACAAAATATTTTTAGGATGTTATTGTTCAAGATGAGTGCTTTAAACTCGCTTTGTTTCGGATAGTTAATGAACCAATTTTTATCTTTGATGCCGTTTTTCCTTCGACTCTCCTGTTATTCCAGCACTTATTTATACCAGTCAGATTATTTATTTATTTGAAGCAACATAAATATATGCTTATCAAAGGAACTAACTTAAATATCTTTATTAAACATTTATTAATTTTTAGTAACGATTTTATCGTTTTTTTAACTCAGTTATTTATTTTTCCAAAAAATTTGTTTATTTAATGCAGCTACATGCAGCAAGATTCCGATAATTTTGAATTTCTCAGACAACTCAAGGGTGCTAAAAACGTATCAGACTTTTGTTTTTGTTTGATCTTATCAAAAATAAAAAAACAGTTCCCCCATGAGAAGCCTCCAAATTTTCCGAAACTGAACGCACCAACATCGCCGAAGATGAAAGAAAGTCTGTTTAGTGTAAGTCAGATATAATAATAACTAATGTTCGTCTGACTTCATGTTCGTTATTTATTTTAATTTTGTGTATTCTCGCTCAACAAGAAAAATAGACATCCGAGAAAAAGTTTGACGTTACTTCCGACAGTTCCGGTCACAATGCAAACAAACAAAGTTCGTTTGTAGCGAGTTTAATTCCAGCGAAGTTTCTCGTTTGAAAATTTCGCGTAATAAAATGGAAAAACGCTGTGAATATTTCAATGGGTTTATTTTCTTACACCTATACATACAACTAGTGATAACATTGTCCATGATTACAATAAATAACTATACAAAAGTTGTCCAAGGAAACGGATTTGTACGAATAAGCCTACGGTATCTACAACAAAAACGACAAAATAAACATTTTGTACTACCGTCCCTACGCTACTAAATATGTATAAACAAAGGTACTTCGTAATTAGTAATACTAAAGAGGGGCATTTGATGCCCAATACTAAAATAAAAAATTTACAAAATGGAACTGTCTCCTAATTAAACGAAAATATTTATGTTAACAGTTTGATACAGGAAGGAAGTAATCGTCGAGGACCGGAAATTGAATTCAGTTCTGAGGCACACCTGCTCGCGTTCGTTAACGTAACGTTCCACGTGGGCGAGAATTTTCCGAAATTTAGGTACGCGTCCTCCAGATCCATAACACGAACACCCAGATGTTGCCTAGGCCTCCATATTTTTAGATACCGTACATCCAAATACTTCGTATTCATATGCCAAGAGTTCATTCATACTTCGGTCTAGACTTTTTACTTTGATTTATTTACATCTGATGCCAAGATCCTAATTTTAGCTAAATCTAATTAAAATAAATAGATTTTTATTGGCAATATTTTACAGGTCCAATTTAATAAATAGCGATTCGATATCTACAAAAACACGCGCCGCAGCGCCGACAGAATTGTGGCCCCTGGGTTGCGCCCTCGTGCTTCACTATGTCTTGCCCCCGGTGGCGGCCGACGCGCTGCTCTCCTCGATGTACACGTTGCCGCCGCCCTCCGACCCGATCTTGGTGTCCTTCCGCACTGCAACAGGAAATATTCGACATCAGTCACTCCAAAATAGCCCGGCTGGTGGCAGTCTTTGCGTAATGCGACACATTCAGACTTCCTGTCAGGTCCAGAGCCGGCTCAATTAGATCCAGGAATCCCGAGTAATCCGGCTTGTCGGAAATGAACCCGTCACGACATATCCAACAAATTCAAACTAAATCATACAGAAAGTATGAAATTTTCTAGGACATAGTTTTAGACGGAGTCGATTCCAAAGATGACTCGATTGCGAATTTTAATTACTGGAATCCAGGAATCCCGGTTGTCGGAAATGGGTCCATCTCCAGCCGGGAACGAGCGATAAAGGCGAGTGCGACGCGCGCGTCACTTACTCGGGTTACGTTTAATGGCTACATGTGTTCATTATCTGGAATCTTACCGTTGAGCAGTTGTTCTAAATAAACACATCTGTTATTGAGGTAGTTTCCGTCGCTGATTGGGCCTATCTTGGGGTCTAGGATTTCACCCTTCTCGCTCGACGACGCCGCCATGAGGCTCAGTTTGGCGGACAGCTCCTCCACATCTGCAAAACAAAATGCTCAGTTAACCACAAGCAGCTGGACGTCGCGGCCTACTCCAACCCACAACGTTTTCGCTCCCATTTTTCCGGGCCCAGCACGGGTTGGCGAGCCCACGGCACCCAACCCATCTATTTTAGTCTGGCTTTTTACCGCACATGTGTGTCAATGGGATTGAAAAATCGTGTTTTTTGCGCGGCTCGCGTAGCTCCGTTGATTAATGATAACAGCCCTCGGATACAATTTTATAATTACGGGGCTATTAATAGGCGGCGGCTGTCGAAAAATGTTTTTCCACGGATTTTACTCAGGTGCTAGACGGTTTATTTCTGCACACGTGTATATTTTCTATTGGTAAATGGAGTAACTCGCATTGTTGTTTACATCTGGACTGGTGCCAACCACAATATGCCAAATCGTTACAATCTATCGATTGCTCGTGGAGAATTGATTGAATTAAGAAATCTCGGAATTGTGCGTAATTTCTAAAATTACCGGAAGGAAACTGTTTTGGCGGTGGGAACCAAAACAGGAACGAACGCCAAAAATCGGGTTTTTATTTCCTGACAATTTTTTGGCTTGTTGCTTCCCAATGGGATGACGCCAGCTCCAAAATTTACAATAATATATTTTTTTTTAACTTCATAAAATAAGATAATCCTGCAGTTACGATGCTGAGTTTTCACCCTAAACATCCAGATTTTAGGAAAAAAAATCAAAATTGTATAAAAACATTTTGCAATTTAACTTTAAAACTGTAAAACCGAATGCTCTGAAATCTTCCAAACGTTTTAAAGTTATCGTAATCATGGTAAATCGTTAATCAAAACTTATTCGTTTTCCTCTCCCAAAAAATTGATGACAGCATCTCAAAATTTTGCCTAATCTCTCTGAAATATGCAAAACATTATGACTTAATAACCTTAATTTTTTTTTCAATTTCTCGACTTACAAATTTTTCAGTTTTTTGATTTGCAATTCTTCATTTTTACGTTTCTTCAATTTTTCAAAGTCTTCATTTTTATTTTTCATTTTCCCGATTTTTAATTTTCAGTTTATCGATTTTATATCATAATTTTTCGTTTATTAAATTTTTCAAGTCTTCAATTTTTGATTTTTCAGTTCCTTGATTTTCGAATTTTTAAATAATTCAATTTGTAAATTTTGGATTTTTCAATTATCCCATTTCCCAATTTCTTTAATTTTCAATATTTTAATTCGATTTTACACTTTTTTGACTTTTAGGTTTCTGAATTTTTAATCTTCTGATTTTTCGTTTTTCCAATTTTTCAAGGTCTTCATTTTTATTTTTCATTTTCCCGATTTTCTAATTATCATTTTATCGAATTTATGTCACAATTTTTCGTTTATTCAATTTTTCAAATTTTCAATTTGTGATTTTTCAGTTCCTCGATTTTCGAATTTTTAAATTATTCAATTTGTAAATTTTGGATTTTTCAATTATCCGCTTTTCCGATTTCTTTAATTTTCAATATTTCGATTTTACACTTTTGGACATTTAGGTTTCTCAATTTTTAATCTTCTGATTCTTCAAATTTTCGTTTTTCCAAATTTTCAAGGTGTTCATTTTTGTTTTTCATTTTCCCCATTTTTTAAATTTTCATTTTATCGATTTAATGTCACAATTTTTCATTTATCCAATTTTTCAAAATTTCAATTTTTGATTTTTCACTTCCTCGATTTTCGAATTTTTAAATTATTCAATTTGTAAATTTTGGATTTTTCAATTATCCGATTTTACGATTTCTTTAATTTTCAATATTTCGATTTTAGACTTTTTTGACTTTTAGGTTTCTCAATTTTTAATCTTCTGATTTTTCAAATTTTCGTTTTTCCAATTTTTCAAGGTCTGCATTGTTACTTTTCATTTTCCCGATTTTTTAATTTTCATTTTCTCGATTTTGTCACAATTTTTCGTTTATTCAATTTTTCAAATTTTTAATTTTTGACGTTTGAGTTCCTCGATTTTCGAATTTTTAAGTTATTCAATTTGTTTATATTTGGATTTTTCAATTATCCGATTTTCCGATTTCTTTAATTTTCAATATTTTGATTTTACTTCGATTTTACACTTTTTTGACTTTTAGGTTTCTCAATTTTTAATCTTCTGATTTTTCAATTTTCCGGTTGCCCAATTTTTCAAGGTCTTCATTTTTATTTTTCGTTTTCCCGATTTTGTAATTTTCATGTTCTCAATTTTGTCACAATTTGTCGTTCATTCAGTTTTTCAAATTTCCAATTTTTGATTTTTCAGTTCCCCGATTTTCGAATTTTTAAATTATTCAATTTGTAGTTTTTCGGATTTTTCTGTTATCCGATTTTCCGATTTCTTTAATTTTCAATATTTCGATTTTACTTCCATTTTCCACTTTTTTGACTTTTAGGTGTCCCAATTTTTGATCTTCTAATTTTTCAATTTTTCGTTTTTCCAATTTTTCAAGGTCTTCATTTTTATTTTTCATTTTCCCGATTTTCTAATTTTCATTTTCTGGATTTTGTCACAATTTTTCGTTTATTCAATCTTTCAAATTTTCAATTTTTAATTTTTCAGTTCCCCGATTTTCGAATTTTTAAATTATTCAATTTGTAATTTGTGGATTTTTCAATTATCCCATTTTCCGATTTCTTTAAATTTCAATATTTCGATTTTACACTTTTTTGACTTTTATGTTTCTCACTTTTTAATCTTCTGATTTTTCAATTTTCAGTTTTTCTAATTTTTCTAGGTCTTCATTTTCCCAGTTTTCTAACTTTCATTTTCTGGATTTTGTTAGAATTTTTCGTTTATTCAATACTTCAAATTTTCAATTTTTGATTTTTCAGTTCCTCGATTTTCGAATTTTTAAATTATTCAATTTGGATTTTTCAATTACCCGATTTTCCGATTTCTTTAATTTTCAGTATTTCGATTTAACTTCGATTTTCTAATTTTCATTTTATCGATTTTATATCACAATTTTTCGTTTATTCATTTTCTTTATCTTTTCAATGTGTTTTCCGATATTATAATTTTCCGTTTATTTAATTTTTCAAATTATCAATTTTTGATTTTTCAGTTCCTCGATTTTCGAATTTTTAAATTATTCAATTTGTAGTTTTTGGATTTTTCAAATATCCGATTTTCCGATTTCTTTAAATTCAATATTTCAATTTTAGTTCGATTTTACACTTTTTCGATTTTTAGGTTTCTCAATTTTTAATCTTCCGATTTTTCAATTTTTCGTTTTTTCAATTTTTCAAGGTCTTCATTTTTATTTTTCATTTTCACGATTTTCTAATTTTCATTTTATCGATTTTATATCACAAATTATTGTTTATTCATTTCCTTTATTTTTTCAATGTTTTTTCCGATGTTATAATTTTTCGTTTATTTAATTTTTCAAAATTTCAATTTTTGATTTTTCAGCTCCTAGATTTTTAAATTAATCAATTTTTTTAATTTCCAATATTTCGATTTTATAAAACATATTTCTTTTTACGATTTTATACTTTTTTGGCTTTTAGGTTTCTCAATTTTTAATCTTTTGATTTTTCAATTTTTGGGTTCTCCAATTTTTGGTCTTCATTTTTATTTTTCTTTTTCCCGAGTTTCTAATTTTCATTTTCTCGATTTTATATCACAATTTTTCCTTTATTAAATTTTTCAAATTTTCAATTTTTGATTTTTCAGTTCCTCGATTTTCGAATTTTTAAATTATTCCATTTGTAATGTTTGGATTTTACAAAACATATTTCTTTTTTCGATTTTACAATTTTTTGGTTTTTATGTTTTTCACTTTTTAATCTTTTGATTTTTCAATTTTTATTTTTCATTTTCCCGATTTTCAAATTTTCATTTTCTCGATTTTATACATATAACAAGTTTTTCGTTTTTTCATTTCCTTTATTTTTTCAATGTTTTCTCCGATCTTATTTTTCATTTACTGAATTTTTCAAATTCTCAATGTTTGATTTTTTATTTCCTCGATTTTGGAATTTTTAAATTATTCAATTTTATTAATTTTGAATATTCCGATTTTACACTTTTTCGAATTTTAGGTTTCTCAATTTTTAATCTTTTGATTTTGGTCTTCATTTTTATTTTTCATTTTCCAAATTTTCTAATTTTCATTTTATATATTTTATATCACAATTTTTCGTTTATTCAATTTTTGGATTTTTTATTTATCGGATTTTACGATCTCATTTTGAATTTTACATTTTTTCGACTTAGGTTTCTCAATTTTTTATCTTTTGATTTTTCAATGTTTCGTTTTTCCATTTTTTGAATTCTTGTTTTCCAATTTTTAGGTTTTTCAAAGTTCTCTTTTTATACAATTTAATTTTTTAATTCTTGATCTTTCTGTTTCACAATTTTGCAGCTTTTCCAGTTTTTTGGTTCAAAAAGTTGAAAAACCGAAAACCTAAGATCGGAAAAAGCTGAAACATGGAAAAACTGAGAAAAGGAAATATTGAAAAACTGGAAAATTAAAAATCTAAGTCGATTAAAAGAATTAATTAATCGAAAAATAGGAATGAAGAAAAAACGATTCGAATCGAAAAATTGGAAAATCCAAAAATTGTTAAATCGAAAAATTCCAAAGTCGAAAAACTGTAATAGTGGAAGAGAAATCAAAAATTGAAAATCAAAAAATTGAAGAAACTGAATATTCTAGAACTGGAAAAACTAAAAAATTAAAAAATCAAAAAGTTGAAAAATCGATAAATGAAACAAATAAAGAAAATAAAAAAGGAAAAATTGAAGGCACGAGAAATTGAAAAATTAAAAAGTTGCAGAACTGAAAAATTTAAACTTAAAATTCGAAAATCTGAGGAAACAAAAAAAAAAGAAAAATGGAAGAACTGAAAAATCGGGAAAACGTTTTAAAATCCACTAATTGAAAAATTTCAAAATCCAAAAATTGAAAAATTCAAAATTTGGATAATTGATGGAAAAATTGGAAACTTAAAAATCGAGAAATTCAAAAATTAAAAATAAAAAAAA